GAATAATAGTGTCATGGTAGCCTGTATTGCTGCCTTGCGTTGATCGGTCTTCGGTGTGTGCTTTTGTACGATTCAAAGGTCAGCTTTCTCGTTCTCTCAACATTCTACCTCGGATTTCACAATTCTTTTCTTCATTGAGCGAGACTAGTGCTGATAAGTTGAGTTAAGTCCGTGAACCAGAATTCGGATTGCAGCCCGCGATCCGTCAAATACATATAGACGACCTCTTCACATTTTGCTTACGCCGACACCACGGAATCCGCACAATGGCTTTCTTTCTATCGTCGCTCGTCATTGAGTGGCTACATCCTCATCGAATTCTCTGAATATGGATATCTTGGGTCAAGGAGTTGAAAGCATCACCGAGTTTGGCTGCTTGGAGTGGCGTGAACTTTTGGTCTTATCTCGGTCGGAGCTTGACATTTTGGGGCTTGGAGCTCCAGTTTCGTGCCTGATGACATGAGATATATTGTGAGGCATGGAGGAGGAGATCGATGTTATGGAAAGGGAGGACTCTATTCGGGGTATCTGGTCAATCGAGGAATTTTTCTTTGTCCAGCACTCGCAGTAGCAACAGGGCTCTTCAGCCAGGGGCTGGCGAGACTCTGAAAACTGGAAGTTTACCAGCCCACTAGCCGGCGCTTTTAAATATCGGTCACGTCCCGCTCAACTTCAACTATTCGAGATGTCATGCCAGAGAGGTCCCCAGTGAGTGTCAGACTTCAAATGATTATTTCAGTGATAACGTCCTGTTCCTCTTCAGGCCAAGTCATGCAACTAAACTTGGAAGCATTTACACCGAGACATCCAGGACACAGAGCCAGTGAAGTCGATACTGAGCAGGCTCATACCAATTTTTTTGCGGCTCGATATGTAATTACCCAATTCATGCATCTCGATATCAAAGATGTTATCCAAAAATTCGGTGTTATTTTCTTTCGATATAACCCGGACCATCAAACTCCTCCGCGGAGCACATACCATGGTACATATACAAAACCCGGAAAAGCTGGATGCCGAAATCTCAGCTGTACCCACACTGCTACCCGCGGCAACCTTGTCTTGTATCTCGAAAGCCTTAATGGGAAACATGTTCATGCTGCGGGTGGCCCTCGTGGCTATGGCCCTCGTGGTGATGTCCCTCCTTCCCGTGCTCACCGTGTCCCTGGCATGTTTTGTGATGCTCTTTGTGTACGGGATCGTTCTCATGAGCGCAATTCTCATGATGGTGCGAAGATTGCGTTGGTTGGTCCGTCATGTCGCCGAACTACGAACACGAAGTTGGCCCCAGACCTCTGCGTACTAACCAGTCCATCTTACCTTTATATCCTGAAACTATATAATGATTGTTCAAAATGGAGTATCTGGAGTTAACTTGCAGATTTGAATGGCTTCGAAGCAAGAGCATGGGATATCGGTCGTTTTTGAGCAATTGCCATGGTGTGATATGACCGAGTTTGAACAATCCATTCTGCCATCGCCTGACGTTTGGATCTGTGCCGGAGGCAGATTTAGGTGGTACGACGATAAGTTCATCTGCTAAACAGGTATTTTGCTTTGGCTTCGTCTATCCCGCATCTTCCGCTTTCCGAAGAATTCCAGCCACACACAACCTCGTGACAGCAATCCTCAGTGGTAGAGCACCGGCCAAAGTGGGAGGGACCAACTCTTGTCATTCAGCTATGTCTCACACATCAGACCATTCTTGTCCGTTTCCAGCGTCTCAAGCGCTGGGGGGGTGACCAAATGCTTCTACTTGTTACTTGCATACCACCACTTACTTTCACTTGTCGGCAAGTCCACGAAGAAGGACAGTTCATCTTTTAGGGAGATGACACTTGGGCCGGCAACAATAGATTGGCATTCGAGTGGCAACTCATCGAAAATCCGACTCATCCTATTTCCACCAACAACAAGTGCCGTCACCACATCCTTTTCCTCGTCGGTGTCCAGCAACGTAAACTATATTGATGAATACAGAATTCTCACATTGCTGCTACACCTATTCGGACCCCTGTATAATTTGAATGTTCGGGTTAGCGGGGAAGCGAATGAAGCTACCATGGCCGCTTCGAAGCTGAGACAGACGATGCAGCCGGGAACGCCGACGACCATGAACATTTTGTGTCCCACATCATCCGTAAATGCAGCACCTTAAAACTAACTGTGAGGATATTGTGGAGTCTCGGCACGAAAAGGAGCTTACCGATAAGGTTGAAAAGGGACCACCTGGATCGTAAACCGACATTGCAAGGCAAGTTGATCTTGAGTGTCATATCCCAACGACTTGTAAAGCAATGGTCCGTAGTTGTTGATGAGCAGGTGTTGACAGGGTTGCACGATCGCCACCTGAGACGCTAGCTATCTCATGAACCGCGCCACCTACCTCAACCCCGTTGTTCTCGTCGTTCTGCAGTGGCATGACGATGAAATAGGAGGTTTCAGGAATGGCCCTCAGATCACAGGCCAAAGTGTATTTGAACAGGTAGAGAGACAAGACACAATCAAGCAGATAGATCCACTCTCATTTTGTATGCAACACTTTCCCCCTCTCCTCATGTGGGGGCCACGAAGTCGACCCTGAAACCTGGGCTAAAGCACTGGAAATCAATGTTACGAACAGGATGCTGATGGCGAAGTATACTGTTCCGGCCATAGAGAAAAATTCGGAGCCTGAGAGAGGAAGCATTGTAAATATCGCCAGCGTCGCTGGACTGATTAGCGGTCAATCACATCTCCTTTATCCGACCAGCAAGGGAGCAGTAGTGAACATGAATCGAGCCATAGCAACCAACCACGCCTCCAAGGGTATACGTGTGAATTGTGCTTGTCCAGGTTGGTTACTGGTCCTCCTCGCCTCCCACAGCCTCCTTCCCGACTGTAACATGAGCAGGTTGACTATTGATCACGATGTCGAAGAGGTTTGTCGTACGCCCCGATGACATATTTAGGAGACGTGTCATCGGAGCTTCGAGAAGCACGAAGAAAACGAAGCTTGTCGCAAAGAGTAGGCTATGGTTGGGACTGTGGTATTGCTGTGTGCTTCTTTCCTAGTAGCGAGACACGATGGGTTACCAGGGTCGTGGTACCAGTAGACGCTGGGGGGACTGCGGCCATGGCTGCTGGAAATATTCCGCATAGCTCTTGAGATAAGTAGTCCTGAGAGTTGATAGACTGACCTGTCTACCCTCTCGTTATTGTTGTGGCCGCCAGAGGATTCTTGCTGGGCTATCCGGGTAAGAGTATGGCCACTATGTCTCTAAGCGGACTAACCTAAAATACCCAGTAGAATAGCAGATCTTGGCAACTATAACCCTCGTACGCAGTATAAGTGCCTTGAACTGACTATATTCGTACCAGCTCCGCATGTCAACTCTCGGGCCACATTCGGAATGTTCAATAAGCGGGGAACCAAGCCGCTTGGCTAGGTTCCCTAGGTTCGTGTTGCAGTTCAATCTTACACATTCGACCAACAATGCACGACTGAGCTTGATGACAGGGCCGTCCTCATAATGCCATGGTTTCCAACCGTGCCCGTGTCGTCTGCGAAGAGTGTCATAATCGAAAGGTGGGACAAGATCAACTTCTCATTGACAAGAGTTAGCCTCGTCTTGGGTCCAATGCGATCTCCACCATCCTGACGGAATCTGTTACAATTGCAAGAGATATGATCAGGTGTGCCGTGAGTGCCGATTGGGGCCATTTTGCGAAACACGACAATCGAACTCATCTCACTTTATTTCTAAAGGATGCGTCGACGCTTACCGAGGAAATCGACCAAAGCGTCTGCAACCTCGCCAGCTGTGAGACCCATTTACCCTGATCACCACAGCTCCCGATGGAAATATATGCAGTGACCTCCACCAGAGCGATCTTCCAACTCCCTCGATCGAAGCCAGAAACAGCCTGGGTGACGAGGTTGATAATTCACCTTATGGCCAAACAAGCTTGTCGAATCGATCAGAGGATCGATTAGGCTACATAGGTGACGAATCTGTTCTTGCAGGTCAACTTTATCCTCCGTCAAGGTGCGACAGCTCAACACTGGGATCTAGAAACGACTTCACCCATGAGATTCTCAGAGTAACCGGAGCTACTGCCATGCCGAATCCAATCTTGACAAAGGCGTTGGTAGACACTTGATTCGAGCAGCGGTATCGTTGACTGCCAATAGTCGCAGTTGACACTCCGTCCGTGTTACTGATGCAAGCTCTTTGCTTTGTTGGGAGCATGCTCCGCTACCCGAGCGCGTCACAATCCTCCTGGACCTCTGCCAAATTTTACCATAATGCCAAAACACTGCTGTACCTGAACGTTGAGAGGAACAATTTGACTACCTTAAAATCAATTTGCCTGATGGGGTGTTGGTCTAACACTTTACCGAATGCTGTAGGCCTTGATCCGCCGTGGTTATGGACAGGAGCGGCGATCAGGCTCGCTTGTCAGATGGGTCTCCATAAAGAATCGTCGTATACACGGTGGACAGACGTAGGGGTCAGTCGCAGGATATGGTGGCACCTTTATGTATGGCCTGCATTCTCTACCCTGATCTTTTGACAGAAAAGAGACTTACGGTTGACTAGTGTTTTGATAAGCTGCAAGCTGCGTGCTATGGGAGGCCTCCTGCCATTAAGACTCACGAAACCGACGTCCGCCCATCGGCCTTGCAAGACTTCGAAGTTGTCAATCCGAAGCCCAGGCTTTTATTCACTACGCCAAATTATGCCTTATTTTAGACAGGATCCTAGCCGCTCAAGCCTGCAGACGCGACATATCCTCCGACCAAATGTTCGGAATTTTGCAGTTTCTCAGCGACTGGGTCCATGACCTTCCAGAAGAGTTGAGCCTGTACGATGGCTCTACCCGCATGCCATATCGTCGAATAGTGTCGGAGAATTTTCTCCTCTACTTCATATGCATTATCCTTCTTTGCCGCTTGTGCGCGCAGCTCCAGCGCTTCTCCTATGCTCTAACAGCTTCCATTTGTAGCCTCTTCATGCATGGTCCGGCTGTTTGAAGAGATGAGCTACCGAGACGGAGTCGTCTATTTTTTGCCTATTTACAACTGGTTTTGCGTGGTCGACAGTGTGACACAAATCTATCAACATCACGCTGTTCAAACAAAGAGGAAGACAGTGGCTGAAGAGCTAGATATCATCAGAGATATTCTGAAACAGCTCCAATCTAAATGGCCATCGGCTATAGTGGTTCTGGATTGGATAAACTGGATAGTCAGTAGCGACCGAGCTGCTGACGAGGTTGTGGTCCACTTCTCCAAAGCCCAACCCGCATCCATTCATGAAGAAGACGGAGTTGAAGAGCCTTACCTGGGGTCATTGACATTGAAAACTTTGTTTCCGTTTCCCCCTAGCATGTGCCCGAACATGAACCTCTTGACCAAAGGCTCTGCGACTGAACATCAATCAGGAATATCTCACTCGGACCTCCCCGACAATGATTTTCTGCCTGGGATCTTTGATGACATGCCTACGAATGCTGGATTTTTTGACATACACCATGAAAACCCCCATCTATCCAACTCTTTGTCCGACACATTTGACTAGTCTAGCGACAGTTGATTTTTCAGGTATACCCACAGGAGGCGTTGGGAACCGTGATAGCAAGTTCAGAGGGCACCTCGTACTAGCTTTAAAGAGGAAGGTGGATTTACCAATGTTCTATATCTATACAAAAATGACCAAGTCCGAAGCTCAAGACTGATCTCGAACTCCGCCGGAAGGTGCCCTCCAATGCGGAAATGTGGACCTTTCTGATGAGGATGACGCCCTTGCCGATCTCGCTTTTTAAATACAGAGATCTCACATGGCAATACGCCTTCATTCCTTGCAGACCCAGCTCAGATCCAATCTCGCCGTATTTATGTCCGCCACATGGGACGAAAACACCCAGATATATTTGCCTGTGCATATACACACTTCCCCCCTCTAGTTGTCTTGCCATCCTCTTGGCCTGTTTCAGGTCCTTAGTCCAGATCGATGCACCAACGCCAATTTGCGTATTGTCGGCCATACCAAAAACTTCGTCCTCATGTGTCCAAGGCATCATGAGGACGATGGGACCGAAAAGCTCCTCTACTGCGATGCGGGAAGTGGGCGATTGGTTGTCAATAATGGTGGGCTTGATGAAAACGTCTGTGGCGCTCTTCTGGAACTGGCGACGGCCTCCTACAGCGACTTTATACTTCTTGGACCGTCTCAAACTGCTTTTCGTTTGGATAGGGCCTACGGTTATAGACTCATCGAGGCGCCTACTGGCACTCAAGGTCACACTGAAGGTAATCATCGCATTACGGAAGCCATTATATATCGATTCATGAACGTAAATAAGCTTGATCGCATAACAGACCTGGCCGGAATTGGTGAAGGCAAGGTTCACAAATTTGCTGCCTCCTCGACGAAACCAGATAACTCTCAAGGGGAGGGAGCGGCTTCAAGAAGTTGGTTCACACAAGCATTGAATGCGATATACGAGGTAAAAACAATATTCGAGAAAAATTACATTTCATTCTCTTTCACTCTATATCTTTTTGTCGGAGGGCTCCAACACCAAGCTGAATGCAAGCCAATTTATCGAGGAAGCGCCCGAAGATAAAGAAACAGGAGAAGAAAAGTATAGTGAGCGCCCATCGCGATCTACTATAACCCATCAGCTGGACACCGTTCTGCTGTTTTGTTACGAACCAAATAGAAGCTACGATTCGATAGTCAGCTTGAAGGTGATTCTGTCCTCGGGCCTGCTGTCGAAGGGCACTCCCAACTCGAGCAACTTGCAGTAGGCGGCGGAGAAGTCGTTGGAGAACTTGTCGGCGTCTTTGGCATAAATCTCGACGTATTTCCTGAACTTGGGGTCCTGCTTCAGCGACATGTCTGTGGGCAGCATCACGAGGCTCTTGCTGGTCTGGTCCTGGTATTGTTTGGGCCCTTTCCAGTTCCGCCATCCCCATTTCTCCTCCATAAGCAGCCTGAAGTACTCGTTGGTGAACACTGTGGAAGAGAAAGTCCAGGGCCCGTCGAAACCAGATCTGTCCGGGTGGCAGCGTCCGACGGCGTGGGCGCCGATGAGAGCCACCGTTTCTTGGTCGTTGAACCCCATTCTGCTAAAGACGGCGTGAACGTGATGTTGGTCCTTTTCCCCATCTGGGAGACGGCCCTCGGGCGAGCAATAGAGACGTCTCGGTCTTGTCGACCATGCCGCCACGGGACAATTGGGCCTTGCATTTCCTGAACTGCGCAGACACCCGCGAGAGTCCAGAGATCCGAGTAGGTGATCCACGGAAACTGGGCCTTGATAGGTTCCAAGAAGTTGCGAGCATTTTCTAGGCCTCTGTTGGGAACATACTGGCTTTCTGGAGCGAATCGCATGATGGCTCCATTGCTTCCCCCAGTTCCGGTTGCGGCATCGTAAGATCCGGATGTGTGCCACGACAACCGAAGTAGAACAGGCCCATATGACCCGTCGTCATACTCGTCGTTGTCCCAAATAGCTTTTGCAATAGCATTGTACACCTTTTGGTAATCTTCCGCAGACGGCTTGAAGACGCTGGCGGTTGACCTACGACTTTTGGCTTGGTCTGTCTCTCCGCAACTTGAGTTTTGAAGTAGTACCCGCCACCCGCGAGAACAGCAATGGCGGCGATCAGTCCCATAGTGCCAATATTGTTGGCTTGGCGTGGAGGCTGGGATGAATAGTGGCGCCGGGAGCATCGTTGGAAGGCCGGCCTCGCAAGGCTCTTGCTCGCGGGACGAGTGGCAATACGAAGAGACCAAGCTGGTGAAACGGTGTTCCTAGACACCACCTTCATAAAAGTTCGAACACTTGTAGCGGAAGCCATAGTGATATATATATGCAAATGGGCAGAAGAATGTCTGAGAAGGGGAAAGAGGAATCCGCCAAGCAAATAGGCCGAACGATGAATTAATAGGACAACGAGACAAGATGCTGCCAGGAATCACTGTATACTAAACAGAGACATTTTCAGACTGTTCAACGGGGCCACTTACGAAGAATAAGTACTCTGTATTCGGAAAGCCTGATCCGCAGCTCCACCGATGCGTAAGGCTGAAAACCACAGGGGTGTCTGACAGTGACATGTCTAGATACGTATTCCGCAACAGGGTATCAGTCCACTTTCTTATTGCTCTACTGGTTGCTGATGCATGAGTGGTGCTACAGTGGAGCAAAATTGACGGATCTTTATCAGAATTTTGATGTTACAAGTCTGCCTACACTGATTGGAAGGTATTTATCAAGCAGGTAACGTGAGGGAGATTTTATTTAATGTAAAGACTGTTTTCCGAGGACTTCCACCCGATTACATTTCAGCGACAGCCGGGCGAATTCATGGATCAAGTCATTTTAGAGCAGTGCGTTCTTACGAGAAGGCTCGTACGATATAATTTTGTGCGCAGAAATATACTAGCGGTAATACAGAGCCCGAAAAAGGTCATTTCGGACATATGTACCTGGATACAAGATTGTAAATACAAAATCCACCATAAGCTCCACTATAAAATCACTTCACCTTCTTCCATCGTCCCCCGGATTCACGGCACATTGCTGCTTCTCCATTTTCTCGCCATTTTGTCCCTAATTTATCGTGACCCTGACCACGACTGCCCACGATTTTTCTCTCGTATACATTCCTGTGCCTGGAAATTCACCGCTGCCTGTTTGTTCCCCGTGCTTTGACCCAGTCTACTCCAGCCACCTCTAGTCACGCTATGTTAAGCAACTATATTCGCAGATACACGACCAAAGCATCTTAGCATCTCACCCTGTCTTACCATACGTCATTGTCACTACGGGGTATATCTGATTTATCTGGCGGACGTCATGCCATTTCTCGGTAGTTGGGACTGTCGAGCTCCCCGAGGATTACCTTGTTTCCACTTCATGAATACAGTACCAGTCTCGAGGGCGAGTTTAGTTCAAACTAACCGCATCATCTACTGGCGTCACCTTTGGTCTCCAGCACTCATTTGGTCATGATCTCATTCATATCCCTATACGTCCCCAACAAGCCCGAATAATTCTACTCCTCTCTTTTACTTCTATCCATACCCCAGGACATATCTCGGAGCATATTCGATCATATGGTAGATCTGTACTCCTTCCTATGCCTCGAATGTCAAAGCGGAAGACATGAGATTGCTCTTCTCCTTCAGCGCCTTTCCTTTTCGGGCGGTGGGACCTGATATATGCCGGCATCATCCCTTTAAATTCGTCATCGGATATCATTCTTTATCTGCTCTATGGCCTCTTTCGCCTCGATAATCTGCCGGAAAATGGCCCTTTGCTCCTCCTAGCTGTTGCTCCCGGCGGCCTGCGCAGTGTTGACCATCGCGACGCTGGTCTAGGACTGTTCATCTGCTATGACTTTCCTAGTGTCAGCGCTCTGGGACTGCAGTGCCCGTTGCAGGATGTGCCTGTCGTTGATAATAGCGTCAACGATTATCTTGGTGTTGTGGCACTGAAGGTCGGAAAGACCGAGCTGCTGGAGGGTGAGGAGGTTGACACGTTCCCTGTACAAAGCAACCGAGGGAAGAGCTAGATGTCTGTTGTTGCTTCTTTTCATGATGGAGAGGTGAACACAGTCCCGTAGTGTCTTCCCGCCCGTGGATTGGTACCTGACCTACCTAAGATCTACAATCAGCCAGAGGTCGATTTCGTCTCGATACGTATTGAATGGTTTCCCAATGGCATATATCTTCTCTTTGCTCCACGCGCTCCATAGAGAGCCTTCCTCGTGCTCGTCTATTGCTAATCTTCCATTCCGTCGTCACTTTAGCTATTACGCCGAGAAGGTCCTGAGCGCCGTCCCTGCAACCCTTGCGGATGCTGTCAAGATTCGGATTGTATGACTCCAGCGGCTTCTCCGTTTCGTCAGAAGGATTATTCTGCTGAATTTGGGCTGCAAACTTGCGAAGGTTTTTGTCGTCGTCTTAACATCCACCGTTTTGTTGTCTGACCCGAATTGATGGAGTTCTCGCGCCTTGGAAACAACGATGATGATGTGTCTAATTAGATCGAATTGTTCACGGCTAGGCCAATAGCAGTGAGCGGGTCGAGCACAATTGTGCTTTACCCAATACGCAGGCTTGATGCAATCACTGTACATGATGGATTCAGAAAGTCCTAATGAGAAATTGAGAGGCCCCGTTCAATATAGAAAGCCTGTGGCGTTGACAGTCCTGGCAGGAGAAGACGGTATATACGGTGTCGTTTAGGTAACGTGGGGTATGTATCTGGCCACAGCGTCTGTATGCGCGGGGTAGGTGTACGCCGAAAGGCTTCCTAAGTAGGCAGCTGAGCTCATTGGCGACCTAGGCTTTTCTAGTGGCCAGGGATCCAGAGGAACCATCTTCATACGGTCTCGAGGCTCCAAGGCTCGAGCTGGCAGCCAAAGACCAACACTTTTTTGAAGGACTTGTCGTTCCCTTACTTGTTTCTGGAAGGGGACAAGCCAGACAAAACCAGTCCGTGCACTTCGTAATCACGATTTCAGCGCTCTCACCTGGGACAGGAGGGGTTAAGCGAGGCAGGTGAGGCCGTTTGTTGAGGATCAGCCTTGCTGCTCGGCGGAAGCCACCGAAAGTATATCTATTATAATCAGGCGTCTCCCCAGACCCTTCGCCCTCTTGACCCCCTGTAGTATGCCCTCCAATTGAATCACATCCTTACCTTACCAAAGTCCAGTTCTGCTTCCAGGCCCGAGCAACCCGCCTTTAACCGGGGCACTGGCTAAGTGTTTCAGAGCTGTGGTGATTGGGCACAATGGGCAGCCGTACAGCCGTCAGCGGGCGTCAGCAAAACATTGGGGGCCTAAAACATTCCGCAACAATTTCATCTCGACGTTATCTTGGGATCATCTCAGAATGAACTACTCCGTGCCTCAGCAGGATGCATAGAAGGCGAGCTTTGAAAGCTTGCACTTCTTGCCACGAGAGAAAGATCCGATGTGACGTGGATATTGTTGAAGTCCCCTGCACCAAGTGCTCCGAGACGGGGAACCAGTGTACCCTGAGGACAAGGAAAGCTTACAGGTATGCCGTTCAGCCAATTCAGGCATGATATTTGTGGAGAACCATCAGTTGACCGGACAGCAGCCCCAGAGGACAGCAGCTGCACCAGACCAGTCGACTGGCAGCAGTTGACAACTCCCGCGCCAACGAGCAGGGTCTTGTGCACAGCGATGTAGAAGATTCTAACTCAGCGCCAAGCGTCTGCCCACAAAAAGTAGCCAGAGAGAGCCAGTTTCTGGGGGCTGGTATCTCGTCTCCCTCGGCCACAATCCCAGCATCCGTTTTCATCGGGGACAAACATGGCTATGGAGCAGTGCTTGACGCAACTGTTGGCGGCAACGTTGCTGATCGCTATTTGCTGATCGCCACTACCACCGGAAAATCGCTTGCTCCAGAGGATCTGGAGTATTTACGGGCCAAAGGGTGTTTCTCTCTTCCTAGCGAGAAAGTGTGCTCGGAGCTGATAAAGGTATATTTCTGTTTCGTCCACCCGACATTCCCGGTCTTGGACGGCGCTGCCTTTCTGCGAGATTACGCCAATCAGGGCCTGTCCCACATGAATCTGTTACTCGTATGGAGCATGTTTTCAGTTGCTGCAAGTTACATCTCCGACACCACCATGCAGGTCGCAGGATATAAGAGTCGCATCATGATGAAAGACTCTATCGTCACTCGTGCGAAATTGCTCTATCAACTAAGTCACGAGAACGACAAAACTGTGCTTCTTCAAGCCGCGTTGTTGTTGAGTTTCTGGTTCGTCGACGCAGATGATGTTATGCAATCATGGTATTGGTCCGGTATTGCCTTTGGACTTGCACAAACTTTGGGTCTGCACCGTGATCCTTGTTCTGCACATCAACACACCCAGTATGCGTTCGGTCGAACCCTCTGGTGGTGCTGTATGCTCAGAGATGCCTGGCTTGCCTTCAGTATGGGTCGCCCCTTGAGGCTGAATCGCGATCATTGTAGTACCTCCATGCCGCTAATTCCCGAAACTCAACTCAGCTACCAAGGAATGGTCTTTGAGAGCAAGGAGTTTTACAGTTCCGGCGATGCTGCTGCATTTGCGGAGATCTGGCATCGCCTGCTCATAACCAGCGAGGCTCTGAGGGAGCTCCTGGGAGAGAGACACAAACCGCGCCAATCTCGGAGATCGAGTACACATGTCGATGAACTTTCCTCCCGGGTGTTTTCTCATAGTGAAGCCTTTATCGGCCTCAAAAGCAAGATTTCTCTTCCCCGCCGTGTGGCCATGGGTCAACTGCAACTATATGAGCAAGCAGCACTCATTGCACTTTTACGACCAGATCGCCCTGAGCAGACCGGTGAACGGCTACGTGCGGCGGCGGCAGCATCTACCTCCGCCTTACAAGCGTTCATAAACGACGGCACAGTGGCCTATGCTGGCCCAGTGAGCATCCCTCTAATAGCTCCCGCCATGCACACATTTCTGCTTGCCATGAAATCATCGAACCCACTGTTGAGAAAAGTCGCTGTTAACAACCTCGACTTGCATTTCTTATTTTTATCTGAGCTCGAAGAGAATTATCCAGCCGCTTCTATCGTCCACAACCTTTTCAAGGCAGCCAAAGAGTCCGTCGCATCTCAGACTGCTGCAGGCGGACACGACAATCCAGATTCCTCCTCTCGCACTCCTCAGGGTTATACCTGGACAGGGCCCAACTCTCCCAGCCATTCACCGAGCGATTGTCCCTTTGATAAAGCTAATGGTCCAGACTATTTTCCCTGGCTTCCAAGTGGTGCAGGTTACGGGAACCATGCTCCTTCCACGTGCTAAGGGTGCTCTATAGTGCGAACCTTAGAAACATGCCCAGAGAACCGGGTTCTTTCGAAGCGCAACGTTTGCTTCACTCTCAAGGTCGTTAAGAGAGTTGCAACGCCGGCCCAAACCCATGGCAAGCACCAACCTAACCGATTAGCAACTATTCCAAGTACTGGGCCTTGGAGACTGACCAATCGCGAACACCACATTCAGGTCTTTGACGACATAGACAACAATGGTTGTGACTGTCGCCACTACCACCGAGCCCAACCCCCAGAACCAATTGAGTTCCTCGAGCATCCTCCTAAACGTCTCACTTGCCTCATACCTAGCTCGCAAAGCGCGACGGAAACCTTCGCCTCCACCTCCGTCGACGGCCACGATGTCTTCCATCACCACAAATACGCCCGGCTTGCAAACGCTTCCTCGCGGTGTTGAGGACATCCGGATGGGAAGTTTCAGGCCCAATGTCGATATGACACCCGTAACCGTGAGAAGACCACCGGCAAGGTACAAGACAATGGCCTGCGGCATGGATGCTTGGCGCAAGTCGACGACTTCATCGGCAGTGGCGACGGAAAGTACAGCTGTGACAATCACAAATCCCAGGATTGCGGTATAATTGAAAAAGTCCATCTAATGATGGATTTTATCAGCTCGGTTCTCGTAAGACACATGGCAGTCCAGACTGACTGAGTACCATCTACCATCAATGATTCTGCACTGCGATCCCTTCCTCATTAGCAGCCATGAACGGTATATGATTGTGAGTACGGAGAGGACCAGCAAAATTGTGGTCGGTATTTCCAGTGCCTTGTCCTGCTTCTTGTGTGCTGCATAGTGGAGGGTGAAATACAAGACCTCAAACTGGATGCACGTGATGGTGATTATGGCAGTCCATATGATGGCTATGGAGCGCTTTCGCTTTCCTAGGCTGTATCCGAGCTCAGGGAGGGTAGTGTTCACCGCCATCATGCGATCGCCTCTCAAGGTGGTGGTGGATTCCAATCGGGGTCCCTAATTGACAGGTTTCTGATATGTAGGTTTTGTGATTGAAGGGGTTCTAATCTGTACTATACATTGCTTTGGGGGATGCTGGTCTCAGGAGAAGGATGATGTCGATGAATAGAGGTCATTTCGACTTCTTTCGGTCCTTATAGTTCTCGATTTCTGATCCATTTCGTCCCGCCAAGAAGGATTCAACCACGCGTCGAGGATGACTGCAACGGCAAGAATCACTCCAGCACAAAATACGCATTCGCGCAGCCTCGCGTGTACCGTCATGAAGATGGCGAAAACTCCGTCGCCGAATTTACCGTAAGTGTTTGTCCACGGAGATGAAACATCGGCCGGTAATTTCGGTAATTTCACTCGTCGACAAAATTCGGCATCTTAGGGCGGCCCTTTGGGCGCCCTGCTTACGAGAAACCTAGCCTCGCCGCCGTGAAACCGGGCGAGCGGGGCGAGCACGCGGCGACGTCAGCCTCGTCCACAGTGGGGACTTTGTCTTGGCACTTAGAAACGAGGCTCCTCCTTCTCACCTTCGCACTTACCTCGCTCGCCTTCATACTCATTTCACCTAACTTCGCAGTAAGTATTACTCTTCATCGTGAGTTTCCTCATCTCGTACGCGACCCAAGAGAAGCGCATTTTCGATCAGTGCGGCCACCCACGACTCAGCCCCAACGACGCATGCACTTGAAAGTGTCATCGCTTGATTGGTTGTGTTCTTTGCTTGGAGAAGCGACATTTACGTGAAGGTTTACCCCAAATCTGTCATGCTGCATTGAAGTATCGTCTCTGCAGATCCACTGAGCCACTCAGAAGCTGAATATGGTACCTAGCCACCGAAGCGAAAAAGCTACGCTGGTCTTTGAGGACGAAGAGGCCCAACTCCGTGAATCGGTCAGTTTTCGAGAACGAATGGTAGGTAAATTGGAAGAGGGCTGAGTTCCGGACTGCGGCTCTGTCGCTGTGTATTGAGCACAAAAAGCACTTCCTGACTAAATCCCGGCAGCCGCCTCGTTCCGGACCATGGGCATCACAATTAACCCGATCCAACGACACTACCTGGCAACTTAGAGTACAGCACATCAAGTCCAAAGGGACCCCGCTTCGAGCATGAGATGGTATGGCACCTATCGTCTTCCGCTAGAGAGCTTATCTGATGAAATTCCCACCTTGACGAAAATGTGTCTGATGACATTCCCTCCTACCGAAATGTGATGCTCTTCCGTGTTCTAGTAGCACCACCGCCACAAGTATTCTCGGTGAATTTACTCAGACTGCTCTTCTATTTTCTGAAAAATGGCGCCCCAGGATCTATCGACGGTCTTGTCGTCATGGTTACTGATAGCTCTCAGCCTTATTCCCATATCGATTGCTGCAGAACCCACTGCTCAATCGACAAACGCAACCCTTCCCAATGGAATCTCGAATCATGGGGACCCAAACTTGCTCTGCACATCTACCAAATGGAGTGACGTCGCTTTCTTTTTCATCGGCAATTATGCTGCCCATGCCGGGACAGTTGTTTCGCTGCCCGGGGAGTCGACCATGGATTTCGTGGTAACGGTGCTTCTTGCTCTTGTTTTCCCAAGCTCGGGAGCGTTACGGGGTTTCCGTTTCATCAGGAACAGCACCATGACACGGGATCCTCTGCACGTTGCTCTGAAGGCTGGAGCTCTTTGCATGGTTGTTCGGGCGCCCAACTGGAGCCCAAAATCAGGCGATTGTCTTCATACGCTATCATTTGTGAGCAAGGATATGATAAGTATATACCCTCTTACCTTGCACGAAAAAATGCCTCGATCGCCACAACAATCATTTCATCAGACTACTGACTCAATAGATAGGGATGGCAAAGGCTGAACCTCTCCTGTCCCGGAGAAAGGTAGACAAGTTGTTGAAAGAGCGGCGGAATCCCGCAGAAGAACTCAATTCCCTGTAAGTCAATGGCATGCCCTCTTAGGTGGCTCAACACTCTAGGTTCTAGGCTAAACGGAGAACTTTGTCATCGCAGAAAACAGTGCACCAACCCAAGGCAACCCGCCCGACTGAGTGTTGAAACGCCTCCATGGCTCAGGGGTTCTCTCCTCCTGGTCGGACGCAGGATCCATGGCAACCTCAAATTACCTCAGGGCTATACTCTGGTTGGGGTCCCAAAGGATGCCTCCGTTGAGAGTTGCATACGAAACATTGACAATGTCGGGGATTCTATTCTCAACCGGTTTGAAACGGAGGTAATCGCAGCTTCGTACAGTACCCCCAAAGCCTTGGTTGCCATCGCTCAGGCAGTCTATGCCTCAGTCACATTGTATCGATCGCGAGGCGACCAAATTACGAGATACGGCTATGCGGCGTTCGGGCTCACGGTGGTTCCTTATATAGCCATGTCACTATTGAACCTCCTCAGCACCTTGGTTACCCCGGAGTACGCTGCGCTTTATATGATAGGATCTGGGATTATGGACGAAGCCAAGACACGCGGAGGCGTTTTTGAGAGTGTGGTTGGTCGACTTGTTGATGAAGAGGTCACCGTCGATCAGACCTTTCTCTTCTCTGGGTCGTTCAAGGAGCGCGACGAGGACCATAATTGCGAAGATGAGGTTGGTGATAACCACCGCCAGTCTCGTAAAATGTTTGAGTTTGACTTGACCTCTGAGCAGGTCAACAATCCTGCGTCTGTGGAAAAACCTGGAAGCGAAGATTCAGCTGGTACAAAAGAGCCAGAACAAAAGACCAGCGCCGTGGTAGAAACGTCGTGGTCAGTGCCTGTAACATCAATGACCCGGCAAAGGAGTTCCACGATTTGGGCATTCATTAGCACTACTCAATCTCGACTCGATCCTATGGTCACTGCCAGCAGCCGCCCGCCGAGAGACGAGCCTTGTATCGTGGTCCCGGCGTGCTACAACTTCAAAAGGAAAATCACCAAATATTCTCGGCTAGATTGCCATTATCCCCGTACGGCCACGCCTGGTCCACTGCAGGTCATATTTGACATAGTCATAAGGGGTAGAAATCTGGATTCATGGGCGGCCACCTTCATCCTCAGCGCCATCTGGATCGCCATCATAGGTGGAATGTCTCATTTTAAGCCCGGCTCCAGTACTCTCGCACAGAGGGCATGGATTATGACCTGGATGGTCTATGGAATCTTTGTTGGGGGCATGTGGAGACCCAAGGTCTCCGTGCTGACTGAGCTCTGGAGGCAAACACGGATGGCGCGTCGGGAGAGAATTCCACTAGGCTTCCGATTCTACGGCAATTTCTTTGGGGTACATATGGCTCTGCTGAATGTTTGCCTTTATTCGACCCCTGCAGTTGGAGGCTTCGTGGTGGTCGCCAAAATGATCTGGGAGTATGGCAACTGCCAACGAATTTGATCGGGCGTTCGATGAAGCTTGGTTTGCCGGACACAACATTCTACTCTCGAAACAAAGCCATCGTGTCTGTGTTCCTTGCTGACCTAATCAAATCTTCTCTACCGTAAAACCTCCACCAAGGTCAATTACATTGGTTGTACTTCTTGGAAACGGCGGGAATGGAATTACTTAGTCTATTCTATAAAACGCCTCTCCTCTCAATAGCCATCCAAGATGATAATCTTGTTCCGAGGGACCGAATTGCCAATGATTCAGCTTCCCGTACACTCTTTCAGCGCGCCTTTCGTAACCAAAAACTCGAGAGGTAAGCCGATCGTTAAGCCAACCGGTGTCAGGTAAGCTCGATCTCAGATCTGAGGGAATCGACGTGGAAGGCCACAATCCAGGAATAAGGCAACAGTTTGAGAAGAAAGTTCCGACTATGGTAACTGATTGCGCTCTTTGGGATATACCACCTTGCCATCTTCCTCGAGCGCGCTTGCAGCCGTTCAATGGTCGGACGAAGCTTGGCTTCGTGATTGCGAAGGGCTTGGAGGACATCCGTCGTTTTCTGGAGTTCTTTACCAAGTATCTCCGCAGATGTCAATGCCATGCCGGCGCCCTGACCCGAAAGAAGCGTGAGACAGTGTGCGGCATCACCAAGAAGGACCACTCTGCCTTTAGACCACTTTGGTAAAGTAACCAACGTGAGGCTGTCCATATTCACAAACGCCTCTGCTTTTTCTGCACGTTCGACAGCCTCACGCACTTGCGAAACACTCTTGGCAGTGATTTCACGCAGGATGTCGAACCTGTCTCGCGACGTCTCCGTCGACAAGCACCGATCTTCACGCCAGATGTGCATTCCGGTCATACCCTGGGCTTGCGCTGTGAACAGCATATCCAAATGCCCAGGGCTATTGAACGAGTAACAATTTTCCTTGTTTTCAGGCCGCGTTTCAAAATTGTACGCTGCATAATAGTATCCTAGCGGCTCTAAATGACTGTGACCGGCGTCTTCGAAGAGTTGCTGGCGGATCTTGGAACGAAACCCATCAGCACCGATCAACAGGTCCGCCTCAATGACATCGCCGCCTGCGAGTACGGCACGGATCTTGTCTCCTCTATCAGTAAAGCTGCTGACGGTCTCGTTAAATCTGATCGAACTGCCTAGAACTTTTGCGAGTGTGCGGGCCACACCGTCGCGTCGAACGGCCAGCGCCTCCAAGCCTCCATAAACGTCAGCGTAGCGGATGCGACACAATTCCTTCCCGTTGTTGTCACTGATGATGTTGCTTTCGTAGGCATGAGCCACGGATTTGAGATCGTCTAAAAGGTTCATATGTTGGATTGTTTCGTACCCCAGTCCTGCTATAGACAAGGTATAGCCGCCAGCCCGAAAGGTGGCCGCCCTCTCAACAACCACGGACTGCCAGCCAGCCTTGTCAAGCCACCAAGCAGCGGCTAACCCGGCGATTCCCGCTCCGACAACGATGGCTAGTGGTTTTTCCATCCTGACAGTCCAGAGAATCTGGCGGGGGAGTTATCGGTTGTCGATGGAAGCCCAAGACTAAATCCAAGGAAATCTCGGGGCACGAGAGTGTCGCTACAGTCTCTTCAGCCGCAAGCAGTAAACCAAGTATTTGTAGCCCTAAATCAGAAGCAATCACATGCAAGCAACAACGTCAAAAAGACTCATCATGAGTTTAACCTCCTGATTCCTCTCGCCCAAAATTCCTGACCGGCAGACCCCTTCAGATGGGTTTCAGTCTATGGCGGAAATAGTACCTCGCATACGTATTAACTGATGCCGTTAGTGAATGAGGACCTTAAGTCGGGTACCGCTTCCGCACCGACTAAGTTATAGAATGTTGCCCTAAACTCATATCAGGTCGTGAGTACCTTGGTAGTGTCGGGAGAGGATCTTAGCGAGTGGGTGCTCAGGATGGCCCACTAGCATGGCTTAAATCGACATTTACACATTGAGGTTCAAAACTGCTAACCGAAAAGACATTCATTGAGTGTTCTCTTCTCCCCACACGTGGTTCCGAACACGGCTCTTTCGCTTATAGTAACTAATGGCCCACAATGTCTCCCCAAAGGTGAATCATTACTGCTGTTCGACGTCCTACCGACTGCTTGACCGGAGCATACTGGGGAGTTGGGAACGGGAACGTCTGTGACAGAATGTCTTGTGTGAAAACCTTGGGTATCCGCTTTGCGAGCCGAAATCTGCCTCTTAGGCGAGACCTATACCACAAGGCTGGGCTATATGAGCGATCTAGACTTGGGAACAACGGCATGTCATAAAAGGTTTTCGCCCGAGCGGAGGCTAATGAAGGTCCTCATCCCATGGACTATCAGGCTAAAGAGATCCAGACGTTAGGTATGTTGGTGGGACGTCCTCTAGAAAAGAACTTTCAAATGTCAGAGTTTGAGAGGATTGAACCTGTGGATTGTCTACCCGAGGGCGAGGTCAACTGACTATATGCTGAAGCCCGAAGGTAACAAAGAAGAGGTTGGGGATATCCTTGACATTCTGACATCAAACTCTTCTTCAGTCCGGCTATCTCTCCAGTACATCGAGAATATTTTTTATGTCCTGGCAGCTTATCTTTCTTTCTTTCTTTTTTTTTATTTTTTTCTTTTTTTTTTTTTAAAAAAAAAAAAACTGTTCCGAAACAACTCTGTTCTCGAGGTAGAATGGAGAACCAACCGCAAACTTGTGCAGTGATGTCTACTGAGCTCAAAGACTTTCCTGTCCCTGCTGGGAAAGCATCCGACGAAAAGGCTACCCTCAAAACGGAGGTAAATGAGCTCGACGAGAAGGAGGGCATTACTCTGCCGCCATCACCAGGGTATGCAATTTCCGACGAGAACAAATATTCGACCAAATATTTGACTACTGTCATGGTTGGGTATGATCTCATCCATCCTGTCCGAGCACCGTTTGGGTGCAGCTGTTAAAGAGCCGCGTGCTAATGGGCTGGTATTCTAGGATTTGGCTGGTAACATTTGCGACCGGATTCGAAATACAGGTCCTGACTCCGCTGCTGCTGTATGTCTACAGCAACTTTCGAGCCCACTCGCTCATACCCACTGCGATCATCGTCTCGAGTATCGTCGGCGTTGTTTCCAGGCTTCCTCTGGCAAAGATAATGGACATCTGGGGTCATGACGTGGGCTTTGCGCTGGCGCTCGTGAGTTTCACTATAGGTACGATCATCATGGCTGCATGCAACGACGTCTTGACTTATTGAGCTGCGTCTGTATTTCTCTGGATGGACTATGACATGCTGTCGTACGTCATGTTTGTGGTCATTGCCGACCACTTCCCTTTGTCAACCCACAGTGTTATGTTTGGCCTGTATCAAACGCCATGGTTTATTACAACTTGGATCGGTGCTCCCGCCGCGACCGCTTACCTCGAAGGCGCCGGCTGGAAATGGGCCTTTGGCACCTTTGCCATTATATGTCCGATCACTGGGATACCACTGTTCGGCTTGCTTAATTGGAATCGCAGGAGTAAGAGTAAAAAGCGGCAGATCGCCCAAGAAGGAAGCAAACGACGTTCGCCCTGGGAAACTATGAGATATTACTGAGTTGAGTTTGATAGTGAGGCCTGCCCTCATTCCTACTGAGTGTATTTACTGACCATACTTGAAAGGTATCGGTCTCCTTCTTATTGCTGCAGGATTTTCTCTGTTCCTGTTACCATTCAGTCTCTACACAAGACAAGCAAAGGGCTGGTCGTCACCAATGATCATCTGCATGGTCATATTTGGAGGTGTATTGATGGGCTTGTTTGTGCTCTGGGAGAAGTATCTCGCTCCCAAGTCCCTCATCCCTTTCTCACTTCTCAAGAATCCGACCATCATTGGGGCGAGCTTCTCATATGCCGAAACATACTTGGTGTACACTACTTGGTACAGCTATTTTTCTTCTTCTCTCCAAGTGGTCCAAGGTCTGTCGGTTAAGGGCCGGGTATGTCTTCAACATCCACAACATAGGGTGGTGTTTTGCCGCCGTGGCCTCGAGTTTTCTGATCAAGGTCACTGGCCGCTACAAGTGGCTTGCCATCTTTATCGGTCTTCCTCTACAGATTTGTCTACCGGTCTAATGATATACCTGTCGAGACTGCATTCCAAAACCGCCCCCATCGTCGCAGTCCAGATATTTTTATCCCTGGGTGACGGCATTATCTTACTTGGCTGCGACCATCGCAGTAATGGCGTCCATCAACCACCACGAACATCTAGCAAGTGTACTAGCTCTTTACAATATGTTCTGTACAAGCTGTCAGGCTATCGGATCAACCATATCTGCCTCAATCTGGACCAGCACATTTCTCAAGTCCCTAGCTAAGAACCTCCCGTCAAGTGTACAGTCCAGCGCCATGACCATATACAGCAGCATCTACGCCCAGCTGTCGTATAAGCCTAGTAGTTCTGAGAGGACTGCGATCGCCCTCAATTACAACCAAGCAATGCAAAACCTTTTCATCACCACGACGGCGATGACATCGATCGGAATTATTTCCACCATCATCTGGAGAGACGGCAAAGTCGATGCTAAGAAGCAGGCCGCCGTATATCCAATTTGAGACCGGAAGGCTTCTTATGCTACTAGTCGCTCTACCCAAGGTGCCCTAGCGCAAGGGCCTCATAGATAAGCGCAAAGTACGAGAAATAGGAGCTATATTGCGAGAGGACTTGTTCAGAGTAGATTGATATACTGGACCCAAGCTGGCCAAGATCCAAGACATATAGATACATACAAACGAATTTGCAGCTCCTGCTCAGAAAAATAATGCGCTTTCTGGCCCGGCATCCAGACACTCACTCACAAGGCTGAAACTCGCCAACACACCAGAGTACATATGGGCTCCCTGGGGCTCCTTGGGGCCATCGAGTGAGGGCTCCCAAACTTGAACTTAATGTAAGCATGTACTAGTCTAATTTGGTTAGCCGATGTGAAGATAGAGCGGCATAATTTTCGCCTAAAGGTGGACAAAGGGCGAGTGGCACAAACATTGAGTGGTGCATCCCTCAAGATCCCTCCACCTTCTCCCTTTGCTTTATCCATATCAGCTGCAGCGAATGTTTACCCAGAGTCAACTCCTCGACGCGAAGTTGCTGCCATTTTTGCGATCTTCCCGCCTCTCCTCGATGAGTTTCCCAACATAGTCCTGGGGACAGATATGATGTTTGAAGCGCGCCATAGGATCCCAACCACGCGATGCATTTGATCATCTGCTCTAGTTGATTCACGCACGATCCATCCAGCCAATCCCAAAGATGGGTCGACAGTCTCACATTGCCCGCCTAGCGCTGGTAAGGGATATCGTCTCGTCACAAGCTCTGGGCTGTTGAAGAAGTCCATTTCGGACGAGGTCGCAGCACTCAGAGCACAATTCGTCCCGGACTGTCCAAGTTGCAATCGACATAACTGGCTAACTGTTTTTCTTAGGGAAGATCGCCTTTCGGTCCTCCGGTGGAAGATGAGAATGGAGAGTTCATCCTGGGACCAAATGTGCAACATAATACAGACCAGAACTATGTTCAGCAATTCGACGATCGGGGTCATCCGAGGAATCCCGCCTCCGAGACATTGAGGAGGCGACTTCTTCGAGCCCAAAACGAAGCTCTGTCGACGGTCGGTGTCGTCGTTCGCAAAGCACAAAAGCAACGGTCTTCATGGCAAACCATGAATGACATGCAGAGATACCGACTTCTCCTGGACGAACATGCCACAGGAGCTTACTGCGAGATCGTCGAGACTATCCTTCAAAACGTGGCATCTCACTGGATACTCAACTTTCGCCGACGCCTTCTTGTAAGCAGACGAACGTTGTGTTCACCACTCGGTCGACTGCTGCTGACATGTACAGACCTTCAAGTCCTATTTGGGGCTGACCGTACCTCAGATGCTATTCTCTGAATGGAACGCCATGGGCCCCAGCGCTTTTCTCTTTGCTGGTTTTGTCCCTGCCACCATTGCGAGGATCAGCCAAATGCTCAGAGTCGCAATACTAGAAGATGAGAGAGTTTCCAAGTCAACGCCTCCGTCTAGACTTTTTAATCTATCGGAAATTGGCAGGAGACTTCGCAGGTCAAGGTGAGCGAATCTATTTTGTTGACGATACCTCACTGACTCGAAGCAGCCTGCAAGTCCTCTGGTTTGCCTTTGAATACCCATTCCATGTCTATTCTGTCTTACAATCATTATACCTTATTCCTTTCAACCCATCACCCTCCCTGTCTGCGTTAATACCTTTCAGCAACCATTCTCCCATTCAGATGTCGACGCATGCGCTAGACTGGTCTTGGGGGTCCTTGACCTCATTAGGAGTGAAGACCATTTCCAGCCCCTTTGCCTTGGCTCTAATCCGAGACATAATTGGCAACTATCTCTTTAAAAAGGTCTACGTTGTGGTCCGCCAACTTGTGGTCAAGCCCGACCGGCCAGATCGCATATCGCTACAAAGTGCCAGAAATCTGAACACTGAAACAGCATCTCTCGAATTGGAAGAGGCTATTTTTGGCGAGTCCACCAAAGCGGGTCAGCGGACTATGAGAGAAACCATCCAAGCAATAATTCCAGCCTCGTTATGGTTTTGGGTCAGGATCATTCAGACGCAAAGAGTTCCATTAGCTGTCGAGTTAAGCCCAAACATCGAGAGAGAATTGCTCGGGCGGAGTGCCATGCACTACCGAGCATTATATCGAGAGAATCGCGAGCTTGATCTCAGACGGGCTACGAGGACCCTTCGGGTTATGGCTATTCGTTCCGCCTTTCACGACTTCAATTTGGATCCAGATCACTCGATGATTGATATCTTCGAACTGGCGGACGATGTAAGCTTTTTAGCGTCGAGCCCAGCATCTACCTCGACACCAGAGCCATACTTCCCAGACGTCGTGACAGCCCCCGCCAATGCGAGCGAGTTTCAAGGCGATGCCGAGTTTGTGCTTTTTTCAGGAGCGGGCCAGTCGGGGAATAGTCAAGTCGCAGACAATGCGAATGCTGAAGGTCCTGGATGGGGCGACTCGCACGAAGAGACTGACGACATTGTCGGTCCCCTACCTTTTTCCGGCAGTCCGACGATAGGTGAACAGAGCTTTCAACCTGCAGTCCCGCTGGAAACCCTTCTTGAGTCGGATATTGTCGAGTCAGGCGAGGAACGAACAGCCAGCCCGGTTCCAGCTACATCGGAGCCAGCGTCTCCTATGATTCCAATTCCATCGCCGGCCTCTCCTTCACATCAAACTCCATCCCCAATGTCCCCAACCCCGGGCATCGCTCGTGCGGCGAGTTTACCGCATACAACACCAAGGCCTGTGCGCCGTCCGACAGTCGTAGAACAAGACGCACCGGCAATGAGAGATGGAATGCTGCGCCGTCGTCAACAACACTCGAGGGATCCACATAGTGCAGACGAGAGTCTTTATCGCGTTACTATTCTTTCAAATCACCCAGCTGAAGCCTTTGCGCATTATATGACCTCAATCATCGAGTCGGTTGTCCTACTTCCGCTTGACATCCTGTTTTTGAGGTCGGCAGCTCGAAGCTTTCTCTCTCGTCATTCTGGAGATCAACAAATGACCAGGGCTGCCTCACTGCTCCGCGATGTGTGGCCTCTCGGTTCGGGACTGGGAGTGCGAGACCTTTCGATGTCGCAGAGACTGCAATTCTGGGGCAATTTCTTCCTTACGATTGGCATGCAAGGGTTGGTGAACTTTGTGATATGGGGGGTCGGCACTCGGGTAACATTAAGACTGGGAGAGAGGTTCGGCTGGGGGAACATATGAGGTTTAACGGAATTTGAGCTGGTGGGAAGGTGATAAGTCTTTTGTTTCAGTGCGATTCAAATGATACCCGGCAACTTTGCCAAAGCAATAAGTCAATTCTAATTCTTCTGACAACTAAAAGCAACCGATCCCTCAGACCTGGTGCATTCCTTTGCGGGCTGTCATCTAACTTGAAGTCGCGTCGATAAAGTTGTCACTTCTAGTCCATCGCTTTATTCCTACCTTGACAAGGCCCGCTGCAATAATACAGCGACGCAAATCTGCGAGGCTGAGATCTGACCAATCAACTTTCGCAAGGCTCTCCCCGCGCCAAATTATTGCGCAGTTGCAATTTTCCGATCAACTGGACGATTGGAGCATCAACATTCTACAGAGCACGTATTTTCAATGTCAAAGCGAAAGTCGGAAGTACCTTTGGAGGGTATCTTCAGCGAGGCATCCCCAGCAAGCAAGAAAGTCCGCATCGAAGATGTACCTGAGGAAATATCTACCGCGAATGGCGGCCTGGATATTTCGCAAAGCCGCGACGCCCAGCCTATAAATGGCACGCATGTCTCCGAACGAATGACAGAGGAACGAGAAGATGAAGAGGAGATGGAATCAGATGTTGAGGACGATCGGTTACCAGCTGCAACACTCCGACAAAATGCTCCCACAGAAGGTTACGACGACCTCTACCTTGACACCATCAATCGATCCTTGCTCGATTTCGATTTCGAGAAGCTCTGCTCCGTTACCCTTTCCAACATCAATGTCTACGCTTGCCTAGTCTGTGGCAAATACTTCCAAGGGCGAGGCCCCAAATCCCATGCATATCTCCATGCTCTCGAAGTCGATCACCATGTCTTTATCAACATGGAGACGAAGAGAGTCTACGTCCTACCCGAGGGCTATGAGGTGCACAACAAGAGCCTAGATGATATCAAGTACGTGGTGGATCCTAAATACACGGAAGAGGAGGTCAAAATGCTAGACAAGGATCCGAATGAGTCAACAGACCTTGCCCACAAGAGATATAGGCCAGGGTTTATGGGCATGAACAACATTAAAGCCAACGACTATCTCAATGTCGTTGTGCAAGCGCTGGCGCATGTTTCGCCCTTGAGAGATTTCTTCCTTCTGCAAGAGTTTCCTCACACAGCGTCGCAGTTACCAGTGCGCTTCAGCACGCTGGTTCGCAAACTGTGGAACCCCAGAGCTTTTCGATCTCACGTCTCGCCGCATGAGCTGTTGCAGGAAGTTGCCTTGCGGTCGTCCAAGAGGTTTACTTTGACACAACAGTCAGATCCGGTGGACTTGCTTACCTGGCTTCTCAACAACCTACACAGCACCTTAGGCGGTTCACGCAAGGCGCTCTCATCCCCCATATACAAGTGTTTCCAAGGGAAATTGCGAGTTGAATCGCAAGAAATCACGGCAAAATCTGATGCTATGGGTGATCGGCTCAGGTTCGAGGAGTCCTCCAACATCAAGACCGACATGCATCCGTTCCTCATTTTGACGCTGGATCTACCCCCAGTGCCTCTCTTTCGTGACGCGGTCGAGTCCAAGAACATCATCCCGCAAGTCCCACTCACCACACTATTGCAGAAGTATAACGGGTTGAATGCCATGGAGAGAGCAGCTCATCGACTGCGGCATCGGCTGCTACACCCGCTTCCGCCCTACCTTTTATTTCATATCAAACGCTTCAGTCAGAACAAATTCGTTTCCGAGAGAAATCCAACTATCGTAACATTTCCTTCTCCCCGAGGCTTGAACATGTCACCCTTTGTCGAACCGAACCCGACGGTCCACTCTCCTGGTGAGCCGATTCTTTACGACATGGTTGCAAACATCATTTTGGACACGACCTCAATTTCTAGTGCTGGTGGCGAAGACACCAATGCCGCCGATGCCGCGAACAAAGCCGTTGGCGCCGAGGGCCAGAAAGTAGCTTGGAAGGTCCAACTTCGAGACAAGGCTGTTGCGTATGCACAGCGAACCGATCTCCCGGAATGGCTGGAGATTCAGGATCTCTGGATTGAACGAGCAGAATCCGAGACACTTTTCACACGGGAGGGCTACCTTATGGTGTGGGAGCGAAGGAGAGACAAGAAGAAGACCAAACAGACGAACGGCGTCAAAACCAACCCAGGCTGAACCCAGAGAGCCTTAGCTTGAGATCCATGTTAGCTGCAAGTTTGATCATATCCAAAAGAGGATGGGATCAAACTCCAGGTCTGTATTTGTAGTTTGCCGTAGACATGACTATTTCCTGCAGTAACGGGATCCGCAGTTTGGTGACCTGTTGTGGAGCTTTCAGAACAGCGATCCGATCCAACTCTTCTTATCTTCCTGTCTTCGAACTGCCGACTCCAAGATTTCAATAGTACAATATCACCAATGTACTTTGGTCCTGCATAACTGAAGCTATCGGCGTGATTGGAAGTCATGAAGCCAGCCCGAAGCTTCACAATAGCCCTGCTCTCAGTCTATGCCTCCGTCTCCCAGGCTTTCGTCACCGCGGTCGGCAATGAAAACCGCGCACAACAACAACAGCAGCAACAAAACGCAATAATAGAGCAGCAGCCCTCGGCTCTAAGATCGCACGCCCTTGACCATGGAAAGCTCTCTGATGTGATAGCTGCGTCGCCATTGCTATCACTGCATCGCGCCATCTGTGAAATCGAGTCGGTAACCGACAATGAAGCCGCGGTGGGGGACTTGCTCGTCTCGATCCTCGAAGCGCACAACTTTACGGTGCTCAAGCAGAGTGTGCCGCCGCCGTCGGATTCGACCAAAGAGAGATTCAACATCTACGCGTACCCGGATATCTCGAAGTATTATGGAGGCTCCGCGGCGCCTGGTGCGGAGCGGGATCTACCAAAAGTGCTCCTGACTTCGCACATTGACACGGTCCCGCCACATATCCCGTACTCGTTGTCTCTCCCCAAGAAGGGCAATGACCTGGGGACGTCTACGTCGTCTTCTTTGTCACACCAGGACATACTCATCTCCGGGCGCGGCACGGTCGACGACAAAGCCTGCGTGGCCGTCCAAGTCCAAGCTGCACTGGACCTGCTCTCGGACCCCGCCGCTGCCACCAGCATCTCCCCCTCTGACATCGCTTTGTTGTTTGTGGTGGGCGAGGAAAAGAGGGGCGACGGTATGCGCCACTTCTCCTCGTCGCAGCTCTACAACCGCACTCGCGACAATTACAAAGCCATCCTCTTCGGAGAGCCTACAGAGGGCAAATTGGCGACTGGTCACAAGGGGATCGAGATGCTCACTCTCCGCGCACATGGGAAGGCGGCGCACAGCGGTTATCCCTGGCTAGGTAGGAGTGCGAATAGCATGATCCTGCCCGCGCTTGTGGTTCTGGATAAATTGGGAGATACACCCGAAGAGGACGGCGGACTGCCCAGGAGCGACAAGTACGGGAAATCTACGGTGAATGTGGGGTTTATGCAGGGAGGTGTGGCGGGCAATGTTGTCCCCGAATATGCCATGGCCGACGTGACGTTCAGGCTTGCAGGCGGGACGGTGCCAGATGTGCGCAGAATCGTCACGAACGCAGTACGAAAGGTCGATCCGGAAGGGCTGTTGGAGTTGGAGTTCTCCCAGGGGTACGGGCCGGTGCCGTTGGACGCAGATGTAGAGGGATTCGAGAAGATCACCGTGAACTACGGGACGGATGTGCCCAATCTCGATGTCGAGGACGGGGTCAAGAAGTATTTATATGGACCGGGGAGTATTCTCGTCGCGCATGGTAAGGATGAGGGACTCACGGTAGGGGACATGGAGGAGGCACTGGAAGGGTACAAGCAGTTGGTGATGCATGCGTTGAAATTGTAACCCTCCTTTGAGAGCCTTGGAGTTGGGCCCTTCAATATAGCCTTTGAGAATTGGCATCCTTCGCAGAGACGTGTTAGATCTACCCGACCTACTGGGTACAATAAACAGACTCAATGCAAAACTCCACTGAGCCGGTGATGAGGCCCAAAATGCCAAGACTATGTCGCGCCATTCCAAATCGGGAGCCCACAATTCGGCAAACTTTCCGCGCTTTTCGGTGCGAAAAGTTGCAACAACTGCGCCAGGAAATCCAGATCCAACTTACAACATCACGAAACCTCATTCAGTCCCGCTTTCGGCAACTCATCAGACAAGTCAGTCAAGATGGCGAAAGAACGCACTGAGAAGTCCGGCATCGTCGTCGGCTTGAACAAGGGCCATGTGAGTTTATCCCTTACCCTGCCCTCACATCTACAAGCCAGCCTTGGGTCTTGTCCCCATTCTCCAACCAGAGAAAATACGGCACAAGAATGTTTCGCAGCAGACGAGGGAGGAAGAAGGAGAAAAAGATCGGATCCTCGCTTCCTCGCACCCTCAGCCGTGATTCAATTCATTCCGCCTCTTTTAGCCGTTCGCAAAGCAAAGACAGAAAACTAACATGGCGAATTTCGCGGCTTTTCCAGAAAGTCACACCCATTGAGACCAAGCCACGGATCTCCCGGCGCAAGGGCGCGCTCAGCAAACGCACCGCCTTCGTCCGCGAAATCGTCAAGGAAGTCGCCGGCCTGGCACCCTACGAGCGCCGCGTCATTGAATTGTTGAGGAATAGCAAGGACAAGCGTGCGAGGAAGTTGGCCAAGAAGCGGGTACGTTTTCTACACGCACAAACACATATGCCCGCCATGCCACACATACTCTCTCCCCACCTTTCTTTCCCACGTTAGAATCCTGCTCTATCGCTACGATTCTATTGGTTGGAGCGTCGGACGAGAACTCATGTTTGATGCGCGGTGGAATCCAAACGAGAAGGTTATTATTGAACACAGGACTGACATGTTGCGTTGCGTCATTGAAAACAGCTCGGTACATTCGGACGTGCGAAGAGAAAGGTCGACGAACTGCAGCGCGTCATCGCCGAGGCCAGAAGAACCGGCGGTCATTAAAAACCGATCAAGATTTCTTCTTTGCTGCTATTGGGGCACGCACACATGCTCTTGACGAACGGAGACGACGGGGGTCGGCAAGGGATTGACTGAGGAGTGAGCGGGACGGAGGGGTCTGTTGAGAACGGGCTCTCGAACCGGGTAGAGGAAGTGAGACTGTATGGGGGTTCTTCTTTTGCGCAATGACCCAAGTGTGGAGTGGGAGGAAAAGGAGATATGCACAACGCAAAGCAAAGCATCTTGCGGCGCTGTTGAATAATGGGAAAATCTACCTTCGGAACCTGCCAGTCAGCAAGCGAGGTCAAGGTGCAACCCTCGGAACGACAGTGTACTCGCAAGTGGAGGGGCACCTGAGGCTTTGAAACAGGAGAGAGAGACAAATATATCCCCGGAAATCGGCAGAAAATGGCTCGCTTGTCACGACATCGTCGACGGTCAGGACAAAGTTGAGGGAAACCATGAAATAAATGAATTTGAACCAAGACAAAGCTCTGCCCTCTACTCTTCGTCGTCGTGGATGACAGAAGTCCGCTTGCTTGGTTGCTGGCCCGCCTAAATGCTTACTTAGTAGGTTGCTGCCAGTTAACAGCGACTTCAGATGGGGTGCTCCCGATCCGCCTGCCTGATGCCATCTCAAATCTCACACATTCTCGTCTCGTTCTTTCATTCCATTCCCTCACTCTTTCTCCTCCTGACAGCTAACCCAATAGCGGCAGAAGGAGCGGCAGTAGCGGTAGCTGCCGCCACCGACAGTTCGGTTGGGGGGAGGGGGGACTTTAGCGGATGCTGACCTCGACTTCGTCGTCGTCCTCAAGGCCGACGTCCTCGACCGTGCTCTCTCGGTCGAGCCTGTCGCCGTCGAAGATCAACCACGGCGTCTTGCCCTCGTCCACCTTCCGCGTCGCCGCGTAGCCGCGCATGATCTTGTCCATCGTCGTGTGCGGCCGCACCCGGAGCTGCATAGGCTCGAGGTCCCTGCTTACCAGCCTTATCACGATCGCGCCTTGGTCTCTCTGGTTCGTTGCCACTGTCGTTTCTGAGGCGGATCTCGTGGCGGCTCTAGCAGCGTGTGTGGTGTCCTCTTCCTGATCTTTCTCATCGCCTTCCTCGTCTTGGTCTTCCTGTCCGCTGTCTGTAGAAGAGGTAGTTGCTTGCGGTGGTTGTTGTCGTTGTCGGCAACGCTCTTTCTCGCGCAGTTTCTGCTCGTAGATCTCCGGCGTCGTGGCTTCGAGCATGATGTTCCCTCCGCTCGGATCCTTCGCGTTGCTAGAGCTGTATCCATCATCACCATCCTCATCGTCGATGCTCAGGCTCAAACTCCGTGGCCGCTGCTGCTGGCGGTGGTGGTCCTTCTTCAATCCACGGATGATCCCCCGCATTGTCGTCGAGTCGAAAAGCCTGGTCCCCTTCCAGGTGAAGAAGACTTGTCTCGCGACGGATTCCTCGAGGTCGAATTTCCGGCACCAGAATTCCTTCACTTGCTTCAGGGACTGTGACGCTTTTCGCTTCACGATGAGAGATTTGGCCCCGGGAATTTCGGACTGGATCAGAATCTTGACTTCTGGGTCATCCTCTTGTTCGGAGATGGGTGTATGTCTCGCCGACGCGCTGGAGTCTGGGATAGATCTGGAGGAGGTCGGCCGACTGTCATGCTGTGAATGCACTACAGAAGGCGATCTTGGATCGGCATTTTCAAGGGTTGTTGAAGACGCGCGAGCAGACGGGGTGCTAGGTCTCTTCTCCGTTTGACCGCCGCCCTGTCGTTGCAGTCGAGCCTTTTCGCGCGCTTTTTTTTTCAGAGCACGTAGGTATTCATCCTCCTCTTCTGATTCTTTTCCATCCAGTACCTCGGCTCCTTTTGGCCTTTTGGGACTCGCTTTCACGGGTTTTTTAGGAGTAAGCATGATCAGACCGTCGTCGTCGTCGTCGTCGTCGAGACTTATGACGGTACTCTTCGCGGCTGCCTTTCGTCGCGGAGACCGATATGTGCTCGGGGATGCATCCAGTCCGTCACTCAAGAACTTCTCTTTCGTGGGCGTGCTGCGCGTCACTGGTCTTTCTCGAATCTTGCCCCTGTTCTGCTTCTTCGCCTCCACCTCGCTTTCTGAACTGCGCTCCTTGTCATGCTCTTCTGCTGATCTTCTTCGCCTTTTCGTCTCGGGTCCCTCGCTCTTTTGCTTCTCATGGCGCGCTTTGGCCTTTGCGGCCTTCCTCTCCCGTTCTGCTTTCTCCGCTCGGATGATATCCTCATAATTTACATTACGTCCGAAGATGGATCCGCTGTTTGCGGTGAAGGCCGAATTCGAAGCAGCAGGTGCAGCCCATGCCGATTTGGTGAATAGAGATCGTTCCACACCGCTGACCATGATTATGGGGAGGGGAAGAGGCTGTCATGCTCATCGTCCAGAGGTTCTTTGCGCGTTGTGCCGCGGAGTGAAAGCGAGAAACAATTCTCGCGTCACGCTTCGTTGCGGGGCAGCCTTGGGTAGCCTTGGGCAGCCTTGCCTATGAATAACGCCCTTGCTCGGCTTAGCCAAATCTGGCAAAGGCGAGCCTTGCTCTCGTGCAATCAGAGCACAAGTTGAGAGCCAGAAATCTACCTTGCAAACGAAAGGCATTCTTGATCTCTCAGCAAATGGATTCAGACTCAGTCCCGCCTGGGGACCTCGGCCGAGCACCTTCATTTAGTTTTCTCAGCGGCCCTCTCCATGAATGATTGATCGAAGAGCCATTCCCTGCCAATTTCTCATCTATGTACGGACGAACGAACCTAGCATCAACGGACGTCAGACATTGCAGCGTCGCCAGCCCTGAGTTCTACGCGTGCCCTGTTTCAAGCAACTTCCAGAGAGCTGATGTATTGCTCTCAGTGTACTCGAGACTGGTAGGTTCCTGACGGCTACCTACTTCGCAGCTTCAACATCACAATGGACAGATCCCGCTGTCCACGGGTCATCGTCATCCACACTTGTCAGAATCTGACATATATCTTCACCGCCAACAAGCATAGCTATCCCAGCGGCGGTTCTCGGCCCTGTAGGAGGAAGACTAAGTACGGGCAGGAAAGCTGCAGCGCGAAGCGGCCGACAGGTCAACGCCAAAGTTTGCGGCCATTTCCCACAGGCACGGCCGAATTTCCTAGGGACGCAGTCGCTGTCAACTTTCCTCAGAAGCGTGCTTAGGTGTGAGGCGGGAACAGCTTTTCCGGCCCCTAGTCGATGTTGGTTGCACTCCTTAAGATTCCCGCTCAGCCTCACGAGGCTGAGCGGGTACATATGGGGAAATGACGAATGCGGGGTGGTTCAATAAATATTAATACCTATCCAACTTCCTGGGGAAATCATCACAGTCTGATCATGTAGTCGGAACCGAATCATAAGCACCTTCCCCAAGCCCCTTCTGCCCGCCCCATCTTCTCCATTAGTCGTCCATCTTTCCCTGAGTAGGATGTGACTCTCCACCGGGAATCCCCCATGGAGTGCCTAGAGGCGTAATCTGCTCTAATTCCAATCGCCGTGTATATAACGTTTCCCCTACTTTGACCACAGTTCACAGCTTTCCCAACAGGCATTGAACAGCATGGCAGGGCCTCAGCCCAATGGTACTTCCATAGCCTCAGGCCAAAAGCCCAAACACATCATCATTGTTGGCGGCTCTCTCGGTGGCCTCTTCACCGGCGTCGCCCTCAAGCAGCATGGCTATGACACGACAATCCTTGAACGCACCCCGACTAATCTGCTTGAGAACCAAGGCGCTGGTATTGTCGCGGGCGGCGATACCCTCGCTTTCTTTGAGCGTTATGACCGCTGCAAGCGGCCCGTCGCCGTGACGTCTCAGAAGCGAATGTACCTCGACCAGTCGGGCAGGGTCGTCCACGAGGAGATCATGAAGCAGACAATGACGAGTTGGGATCTGTGCTATTACATGCTTCGCGCCAATTATGACCACCAACAGAGTGGGTATTGCAAGGTGCCCGGCCCCCAGCCTGGCGATGGAAAGATTGATTATAGGTACGGCTGTACAGTGACTAGTTTCCGGGAGGAAGGGGATAGTATAAAGGTGTTTTACGACAAGATTGATGGCGGAAAGGACTGGATTCTGGGTGACATGCTCGTCGGCGCGGATGGGCCAAGCTCAACTGTCCGGAAAATCCTATGTCCAGAAGTCGAGAGGAAATATGCGGGCTACTGTGTGATAAGAGGCACGGTACCTGAGAACGAAGCATCTGAAGAGGCCAGAAAAGTGTTCGTGGAGAGGTTCACTTTCTTCCATGCTCCAGGAATCCAGAATCTGACGTACACCATCCCGGGGATCGACGGGGCCATGGAGCCAGGGAAACGGCTGCTGAATTTTGTCTGGTATACAAATTTTCCTGAAGGCGAACGGGAGCTTGAAGAAGTGATGACTGATAATGATGGCAAGAGAAGGCGGCTGACCATCCCGCCGGGAATGATGCGATCAGAGGCCTGGGAAATGGTCAAACAACGCGGTCGAGATCGCCTCCCACCGCAGATGTCCGAGATGGTCGAGAAGACCAAGAAGCCTTTTGTGCAGTGCATCACTGACGTGATCACCCCGACCAATAGCTTCTACGGTGGTAAGGTTGTGCTCATTGGAGATGCATTGGCCGGGTTCAGGCCGCACACCGTCGCCAGCACAAGTCAAGCTGCCTTTGACGTCCTCATGCTCGTCGAGTTTCTTGAAACTGGCGATCACGCGGAGTTCGTGCGGAGGACGATGGAATATGCGCGCTTAATCCAAAAAAGAGGCATGAACATTGGGAATAGAAGTCAGTTCGAGAAGTTGCCTTTGAGGGAATATGTCGAGGATCGGAATATGATGTCGATAAAGAGGGAAGACCTGGACTTCCCAGAGTGGACGCAAGTTAGAGTATAGTCCTGTTTGAAGGCAGATGCGAATTTCAAGAGCAAATATTAACAACTGAACTCGCAGATTTGGGATTTGTTACGGCCCCGAAAGCCATTGGTAAGACACGAGGCATGATCGGAGGTTCAAATCGTTAGTAGTGATACAGGCAGACCAGATAGTCTCGTCAGGATACGACCTCCCGGGGAACCAGCTAGTATTTCAGCCTCGGGGCCGTAGTCCAGCACGTCGAGGTTGTCTTGGTTCGGTCATTGGCGGCGGAGACTTCGCGATTGCCATGTCTACCATGTCTACCGATGCTGGGGTTTGCCTCACTTTGGATTTCTCCGTGGTCGACTTCTTCACGGCTTGCTTGTTCTTAGGCAGCGTCTGGGGCCTTGCTGCTCTGCCCGGCACATTACCACCAGCCAGCATCTCAACAATTGCTTCGATCCGCTTTGCGCGGGTTTGAGGCGAAGCAGTTTGGACACGCCAGAGCACAGTGTACCGCTCTGATTTGCTCAGGCCATTAAAGAACGCAGACGCCGCGGGCGCAGCAGCGAGGGCAACGGTAAGATCGTCCGACAAGGTTATGGTCGCTGGTCCGTCGTATGCACGGGCCCAACGACCATCGGCTTTGGCAGCTTCGACTGCGGCGACGCCGGCCGGGCGCATTCTGCCTTCCTCCACCAATCTCGCCACCGTATTCACATTCTTCTGGGACCAAATACTCTTCGACCGTCGCGGGGTGTATCGGACCAACCACCAGTTCTCATCGACACCGTTCGCTCGGCCGTCGATCCAACCAAAGCATAGGGCGACTTCGACTGCTTCCACAGACGAGATGGAACACACGCCGGCCGACTTCTTTGCAAGCTTGATATAGCAGCCCGGCGCAGTTGCGTGTTCACGGTCGAGGAAAGCCTCCCACTCTTTTGCGGACGGAAAGGAGTGAATAGGCAGGTCTGTAGGAAGGGGTTTAGATGACATGCTGGAAACCAATGGCGATAAACAGGCTGCCGGTTTAGGCCTCTCGTCGCACACCGTCAATACAGCCTAAGCTGGGACGGCCAAGGGCAACAACGGTGCACGCCAGGCCGTAGCGCAGGACGAAAGATAGTTGTGAGGTTGTGCGAGTATGCACCGAGCTCTAGGACGCGTTTCTAGGGATTTCAACTCATCCCAAGAGGCGAGAAAAGCGCTGTCCACGCAATCCGACGCGTTGATTCCCGGACCGCGGCCGAGCACGAAACTAGCTCGCTGAACCGGTTCATTGATGAAGCTGGACGCGAAGGAAGCACGCCTGGTGCCAAGATGAGTCAAAGCTGCCGGAGCCTACTGTACGCAGGTTCGGCAGGTCACCCTCGTTTCCGTCTTAGGGCGGCACCGCCCTAGTATTTACAGTATGGACCCCCTTGGAACCCCCAACTCACGCGAGCCGGGTACCTGTGACTTTGCCTGGTGCCTACCAGGAGTTTTGGGAGTTGCAAATGCTTCAGAGAGCCCAATTCCGTACCTGCCAAGCCCGCCTCCTCGGTAACTGTTGCCGCGAGTACTCTCAAAGGCCGGTTTTCTGTTGTGCAAACCTTCGAATCGATTGATATTGTACCATCTGCCGACTGTGTTTGCCAATGTACTCCAAACACACCTCTTTTTTGTGAGGCTCGCCTTTCCTCAATTTTATATGTCTCAATCTTAACAGACATCTCCCCATCAGGTAGGGTATCAAAACGGCTTGCCCAAACATCAATCATCGGGGCCATCGTCACAAATTCGTCGGAGTTTCGATGATGCCAGCGGGACACTATACCTTCTGTGGCTCTTTTGTTGCTTCTTACCCCCGATCCACAGGACTTGCCGGCCCGGTGGTTGCTGAGATGATGCCAATGGGCCAGAGCCTGTGAGGAGGATCTTCAATGTGTTTCCTGGTACGCGCGTCTCGAACTTGCCCAGCAAATCGTCAAGATATCGTTGGAATCAACACGCTGCTCGGGAGCAGTGCTTCGACTTGGACGGTGATGTAGACAAGATTGAAATGTGACGGTAAGTCGCTCAAGAGGGTGACATAGTCGTCGTCGCTGCTGGCATCGAGATATCGGCGAAGCTCGAACGAGAACGTCACGTCGGTGTGTGAGACAAAGTCCAACGTCAGAGCTTGGTGGATCAGGCTCTTCGAGATCTCCGTCACATCAGATGCTCGCGTTCTGCATTGCAAAGTCCACAATACAGCAATACAGAGCTGCCTGAGGTACTCGATGATGAGGGTCAGCGAGCCGCTGAGAAGATTCCGGTCTTTGAGGTGGTTTTGAGGCTGGTGTTGCCGGAACTTGCCGGACTGTTCCACTTCTTGAAGGAAGAATCCCTTTGATATACTATAGCATACTGATCCCATTTGACACATCGTCTATCACGTAGCTGTATCGGTTGTTGCAGGATCACCATATGATCTAAACTCAGAGATGAGGATACAATTCCTAAGGCCTGCGTCAGCTGGATTTCAGACATTGTGTTTCTCAGCTCTATCCGCGCATCAGCGTTGAAAGCCTGGTCAGAGATCATATTTTCACGCAGCTGTTGAACCATGAGCGTCAGGGGGGTCACATCTCTGCTCACTTGATCTTGCCGTTTCTCAACGTTCGAGAAGGCAGACAAGGCGGAGTCTCGGAAGGTGGACACGGTTTCTTGCATCTCTTGTTGCTCAGCCTGGATGCGGGGAAGAGCCACCGCTGTACCATGCTGTAGCGCACGTAGCTTCTCCTACATATCTCTCTGTTCGGCGAGGCTGTTTGTTGAGGCATGATTCGACATTAATTGACAGGACTGTCGTATGCCGCTTATGATATCATTATAGCTCGGTCCGAGGGAAGGCATCTACAACCTCGCACAGCCCTGTGACAATAGCCATTCCTAATTCTCATTTTCGACGACAGCCTGTCGAAGCCAATATAAAAGTTGCAATTACCCTGCAACGTGAGAAACGTACTCTGTAAAGAAGCTTCAGCGTCCCCCAAGCAAGTTAGCCGTATTCTGGATGATGCTGCACCATAACATCCATCACATGCCCATAGTAGACAAGGCGCCTGGACACTTCAACAAGGCAATTTCTCGCCCGAGAGTCAGAGCACTTCTTCTCATAGCAATCTCGTGCCTTGTTGACAGCGGGGACGACATCGGAAATGCTCGGTGCCTGAATGTCGGCGAGTGTGCCTTTGCCTCTTTGGAGTCTTTCGACTGGTGCGCGTATAGCTGTACGGCTTCCTGGAAAGCTTCCTCTGCAGAATAATTAGCGGTCGTGCTACTTCATGGTTAGCTAAGAACTCTTCTGAAAAGGCTGGGTTGCACTCAAGGACGGTTGGGACGCATCTCTGCAGTACCATGAAGAGAACCGGAATAATATGGCCCCATCATGGCACAAACTCGGCAATGGTGCCAGGACGGCCCGTTCCACGCCCCAAAAGAAAGTTAATAGTCTAGTATAGAAGCCCTGAGAAGCTTATCCCCACGAGTAACAGATTTGATGAAGACAGAGGAAACAGTTCTGCAGGGCGGAGCCTCGAATGAGCTTGTATTACCTACAAGACTCCTTAGAAAGACAACATATCGACTCTCTCCCTGAATCTGCCAGGCTGCCGGACGATAGTTTAAAACAGGTGTCCGGCTCAGAGGCAGGCTTAGCCGGTCGCTTGGTGGTCAGTCTGGGCCCTCCTTATAGCTCAGTGTGCTTCTCGGGGAGTGCTCGGTAAGGCTTTGCCAATGGCTCAGTTAAAGCTCAGTTTAAAGCGGCATTCGCTCACCCTCTCGGATCAAACCGTATAATTATGGCAATTTGGTTTGTCGTTCGCGAGTAATATGGGTACCTAGGTCAGCACAAACGACACACCAACTCGTGTATAATATGTTATGATTTCCTACGAAGAGAAATATAGTATAAGAAAATCGGACGGAATAGAGACATGTACCTTATAAAGACTGGATCGAGCTTTGTCTCTTTCTTCTGGTCAGACCTCAAGCTCTACAGATTTCCTTCCCCTTGGAGATATACTTCAGTCTTTCCTTCCCATTCTCGACCCGGCAGCACAGTTACATAACCAGCAAGCTAGGTGTCTAGTCACGTCTTTCGTCAGCAAGTCCAAGAAGCAGCCTGGGCCAGTTCCAGTCAAGCAACAATAACAACAACCTACAAGCCATCATCAAGCACGCGTCCCAACCCACCAACAGAATCACCCGTCGCAATCCAACAACGATCTTTCATCCACTTTTCAAGCCACCATCAACCATTTATGGATTCCGCACAGAACGCACAGGCCGCTTTCGGCGATAACGCGCAACTCAGCGGGGACCTCTTGGGATCTGATCAGCCCGATGACCTTTTCGGGCCTGAGCACGACAACTTGGATGGAAGGGCAGGACTGGGTCCTGACGAGGCAGAGGAGCCGTGCCAGGAAAGGGGTGGGGGAAGGACGAGGGATTTAACGAGGGAGAGCCGGAGGGGATGAAAAGCGAGGACGGAATCGACGATGGCACGGCCAGGAACTTCCAGAACACGACCAAAAGCAATATGAAGGAAGAGAATACCATCCAGAAGACAACCACCCCCAACAGGTCGGCAATCGCAAGAGGACGGTCGCCCAAGGACAATGTTCCCCGTCAGGGTAGACACAGACAGTGAGCACCTTCTTTTCTCTCCCTCTTGGGTTTTTTTACTCAGGTAGTTGGTGAATAGCCATGTCATGTGTATGCAATGAGAGTTCTCCGGTTCCGGTTTGTTAACATTAAATATCTTTCCGCCGTTGTGCTGGGCGTCCTTGGTTCGACGAGTGAGCGAGGGGTGAGTGAGTGAGTCAATGGACGATGAAAGGGAGATGTATCATGTATGTACTGAAATCGAGCTTGTAAGCGAGCGAATGGTCAAACTGGCCGCTCGGCGACGTCAAAATCTGCACAATCCTTCATTACGGGCGTGGCCGCGTCTAGATCACGCTTGACATTACCACGACGTTCGTGCCATGCTTGCCCCTGCGTTTGAGGGGGGGTGCTTCGACACAAGTCGACAGACGCTGTGTGTACCACTCGCTTCGTCCAACTAACCCTGCCGGGGCCACGCGATCATCATCATGCCCTCCTGCACCCAGATACCATGGGCAATCGATGTAGCGCCCTTGATGGGATTCACGAGTGCCCAGTCGAAGTTTCTCAGCAGCTAGATAGGAACCGTCAAAATCTCAGAGCAAAAAAAGCATACAGTTGTGCGTGTCAAACCCACCTCGACAAATGCTTTGTACAATTCCATCATGGCAATATTCTTGCCCAGGCATGCGAACCTTCCACTCCCAAACATCAACTCGGCCGTTCTCAAGTATTTCGCCCTCACTTCGGGATCGGGGTGTAGCCATCTATCAGGCCGATACAAATCTGCGTCTGATCCGAAGATGTCCGTTCTCCGTCCAACGCCTTCGCAGCAGAATGCCACTTGAGTTCCCGGAGGGTAGAAGACTCCGTTGATTGTCTCTCCCTCGGGAGGAGCGAGCTTGGTTTGTAGGCCAAAGAGCGGTGGGAAGAGTCTGATGCCCTCCCAGATGCATGCCGACAGATACTCGAGCTTAGCCGCCTCACTGTATTTGACAATGGGATAGGAGATCTTGCCGTCAGCAACGGCTTTGTCAATTTCAGCGACGAGCTTTCGATATGCCACAGGATTGCCGACTAACATCGTCATCGTTATCCGCAGGGCCGATGATGTCGAGTCAGAGCCAGCAATGATCTGCAGATGAGACTCGGCCTCAGCTTGTGTCTGGCAGAGACCCTTTGCAATAAAGTGTCCAAGCATATCCCTTTTGATCTTTGCATCGGGCCGATAGCGTTCAGCGACTGCCTTTTGAGCAATGCCGATAATGCGGCCCTGACCAAATTCATCCGTGCCTTTTGGGGCTAAGAGTTTCTGCATGGGCCTGCTTTGGATGAGTTTGCGCAGAGTGTCATGATTGACGATGAGTTCGATGACCTTGAAGAACTGATTTGCAATCTTATTGAAGTTGTAGAGGTCTTCGTTAGCAGTGATGAAGCCGAAGGCATCCCCAAAAGCGATTTGGGAGAGCACGTCTAGAGTGAAAAAGGACGCCAACAGTGACATGTCGAGAGGCTTGCCGTTGTACTCTCGCTTAATCAGAGCCAACAATCTCTGCAGATTCTCGTCGATGTCGGACTCCAGAGTGTCGACTTCTTTCCCAGAATACTTCACCGGTCAGCCAAAAGAGGGTTTCGATTTCGAAGAATCCAGGGCCATGCACGCAGCTCGGATGAACTTACAGCCCCTATCATTTTCGATCTCATCTCCGCATGACGTCTCTCGTCCCGCTCGGAGAAGATGTTGTTCACTCTGGGATCTAGCTTCATACCGTCGTACCACGAACTCCGGGTCCATCTGGACCGAGGAGCGCTCATGTGCCGTAGAAGCTCAGGATCATCCGTGACCAACAAGCTGGGACCGATTCGTGCTGGTGACCCTGCATTCAACTCGTTAGTCTGGCTCTCCCCATTGGACCTTGGCCGATCGAGGTGATTCTCACCATATTTTCCAAGTGCCTCCTTCTGAGCAGTTGGCATCCGCGCATTGATGGCCTGTGAAGCAAGCCACAAGCTGGTGAAAGCAGCCAGAGGAGGTCCTTTGAAATGACTAAGCCTTTGGTAGCTGCGGTATGCCCCCACGAGATAGCTGATCGCACCAGCAACGATGACAAGTGGGATTAGTGTTAGAGCCACAGAACTCTGGACTGCTGCCGAGCTCGACATGGCTTTCTGTTCCCACGGGCAGCAAACCCAGGTTGCGAGAGGAATCGTGGGGGAAGCACTGGTGGAGTTAGTTTGTCAACCGTCAAAAGGAAAACGGGCACAGAACTGGTTATAGATCAGTCAACGGTGAAGACGGAAATCGGTGCAGAGTTCGTGTAACATCGAAGTCGAGGCACAAGGTGGGATGGAGACCAAGCTGTTGCTGCAAGGGGGACCCTGGTAGCCAGCAATCGCCAGTCAATTCTGCGAACGGATGGCATTGACATTGCAATGCCGGTAAGGAGGTGCAGAAGTCAGTGGGACACAGGGAAGCCCAAGGCGGCAGGCAAGCACAGCTCTTGCAGCACTCGACTTCGTTTCCAAGCGACGGCGAACCTGGTGATTGGTGCTGGTCTGCCACGTTGTCGTGAGGATCTTGGTGGATTGTCGGGGCATAGCGAATAGGGAGATATAGTTGGAGACCCAGCTAGTCCATCAGGTCGGCAGCAGCTATGTAAGTCAACAGATAGAGACGGATTCGCTAGGCAAGCCATGAGGGCATATGGACCTCGTAGAGAGAGTTGCTTCTATGCGTGCAGATGCGAGATGGTCGTGGCAGCTCTGTCAGTGTGAGAGGAAGAGGATATAGGTACAGAGTCCCGGGTATGCCTGCTGTTGCTCTTCGCGCGCTACTTATGTACCTAAACACTGAACTCTCAAAGGACCTTATTAACCGGGAAGCTTCGGCCCCATCCAACAGCTTGTCAGTGCCTTAGCACCACCAGTGTCTAAAGTACCTAGCCTCGCTAGGTAGCGAGGTAGGTTGCGAGGTAGCTACAACGAATATGTCCCCAAGTAACAACGAGGACACCCAACTACGAGCTATATTCCAGTCGGTGCGACAACGTGCGGAAGGACTTAACCGCCCAACCCCCACTGCCCACTGCCCTGCCATGGCCTAATAGCTTCAAAGACGGGTGCGTAGCTGGTGCGAAACACATCCGCCGCGGGGCCCACGGCCCTCCCGCTGGAATCGGTCGAGCAGTCATTCAGTGACTCCGATTCGGGATACGAAGAAGGCACCTTGTCGAATGCTTCGGTGACTTCTAGCATCTACGCATTCGAGCAAGAGAATGGCAGGACGTACCACTCATACAAGGCTGACAAAAAGTATGTCATACCGAACGACGAGGCTGGAAGAGAGCGAATGGACAGTAAGTCCTCAAGTAAGACTAGGGGGTGGTTCTTACTGAGTTGGGCCAGTCCACTATCACAGTCTCCGCTACGCCATGAGAGATAAACTCTTCTATGCCCCAATAGAGCATCCGATCTCTGTCTTTGATGTGGGCACAGGCACTGGTATCTGGGCCATGGACGTGGCAGATGCATATCCGGGAGCACAAGTGCTGGGCATCGACTTGTCTCCAATCCAGCCAACCTGGGTAGCTCCAAACCTTGAATTCCAGGTGTTCGATCTGGAGGAACCGTGGGACATGCCTGAGCGGTTTGACCTGGTGCATAGCCGCGAGATGAACGGTTTTTCGATCAAGAGATGGCCCAAATTCTTCGAGCAGGCTTTTGTGTCCCTGCGGCCTGGTGGGTGGGTCGAGTGCCAGGAATTTGACCTGAATATTAGTTCCGACGACAACACCATCCCTGAAAACAGCGCTGCGATAAGGTGGCAAAACCTTTGGGAGAAAGGTGTCCAACAAGGTGGCATGACAGGTCGATGCTACCCAGCCAAGATGGCAGAACAGATGCGCGGAGCAGGCTTCATCAACATCACGGTCCTTCCCTTCAAGATGCCAATTGGACCCTGGGCCAAAGATCCCATGCTCCGCCAGTCAGGACTGTGCACGGTTGTGGGTCTCTTGGACGGTGTGTTTGGACTGAGTGTCAGAGTGTATACTCAGTTTCTTGGTTGGTCTGTCGAGGAGTTGGAGGCGTTGCTTGTGCAAGTGCGTCAAGAATGGAAGAGCAAGAGGATTCACTGCTATTTTCCTATGTGAGCAACACTCTTCTCGCTAGAGCCCAGTTGCTAACCAGGCCTGTTGCAGATATGTTGCCTATGGACAAAAGCCGCCCTGATGGGAAGAACAGATGCGGGCACATTACAGTGTATTATTCTCGACACACACCCAGGCATTTGAGAGAGATGGCCACTGAGACAGATGGCGAACTCTGCAGGGAACCCATCATTTGCAGCCATGTTTTTGGTGGCAGGTAGAAATTTTCAAGTCTTTCTCATTACCTCAATGCCTGTAGGCGTAAAGTAGAGTTACATGGGGAATTTTTGTATAGATGAATAGAGAGTTGAAAGATTCATTAAAGAAAACGTACTCGGTACTGGGTAGCGAGGGTAGATAGATGACAGCGACTTTGTGCCAAGGAAGTAATTCATCTTTCCCGCACTGGTGGCGGGCCCTGTCTGGCGGCCTGCAAGGCTGCCACGCAGCTCCAGTTGACCTTCCAAACCTCCAATATCACTCCATTGACCTTGGGCGTTTGGACACGCTGAGACACCTACACAATCTTCCTCGACATAACCTTTTTGCACAGCCCTGCCTGCCCGGCCACCACCTCACCTCACCCTTGTCTCTAATTCTCTCTCCTCCCGCCCTCGCTCGAACACGCTTTGATCCCCCACGGAAAAATGGAAAACCACAACTCCGCCTCCCCCGCGGGCGGCGTACCCTCGAGCTCCTCGGACCCCAAAGACCCGGCCTCGTTCCTGTCCTCGATAATTGGCGTGCCCGTGACCGTCAAGCTCAACTCGGGCGTCGTCTACAAGGGCGAACTGCAGAGCGTGGACGGGTACATGAACATCGCACTGGAAAAGTGCAGCGAGTACGTGGACGGGAAACTGCGACGCAAGTACGGCGATGCGTTTGTCAGGGGAAATAATGGTACGTTTCTTCTCTTCTTCTACGCCTCTACCCCGCGACCGTGCACAAGGACCGAGGAAGAGGAAGGGTATTGGGTTCTGGGAAGGGAAGCTATCGTGGCTATAAAGAAATATGGTGAATTGCCGGTGAAAGGTAAAGAGGGAGAAGGAAGGAATGGACGCGGAGACGTGGTTGAAGAGAATTATACTGACATGGCTATGTGACGATGCAGTGCTCTATATTTCGAGCGAGTGAGGGAGGACCCACGACTGGTTGGTTGAATAAAGAGCGAGATCAGGAGACAAGGGAGCGATCATACACGCGCCCATATTATGCGGCGGAGTTTACCAGCACGCGCCACCGAAAAGGGGCGCCCGAGACGATCACCGCACCGGAGGCAGTCGAGCCCTAATACATTCCTTGGGCCAAAACTATGCCGTATCAATGCTGTCACAACCATCAGAGGTCTGAGGATAGTAATACCAAGGGCGGAGAGACGGCTGCAGGACAGTTGGGTTGCAGAGGCCCGTATCGGACGGAGCCCTCGAAGAATCATTGGGGGGAGGTATCGCTGGGGCCAGAAGGCAACACTGACATATTGTATTTGCTATCGACAAAATTTAGCCACTGCTCTTGAGCGGCTCAGCAGGGATTTTGCTCGTCCAGAAGAATACTGTCCGGCCATGGACAGCCACCAAGCCGTCTTCATTGATTTCGGTCCCTTCCGACTTCAGACTCTCATCGAATGTTTTCCTTACCGTGTCCAGTTCTTCACCCTTCAATATCGCGAGCTGACTCAACGTCCTCAGCCTGGCCCAGAGTTCTTCCTTTGACAGCCACGATTTGAACTCTACACTGCCCTCCCCCAAGGGCACCCCGAACAGTGGATTGGCGAAGTGCACACTCAAGGGATTGCTCGCAGTCTGGTCCTCGAACACTTGCCGCCACTTTTCATGTCGGAAGCGTGGCGAGCCGTCCTCGAACGTCCAGATCACGTCGCGCATGACCTGCTCCCAACCACGATGGATGTTCCATGATTTTGGCGAATTGTCTGTTGATGGCTAGTGAGCTCAATGCCCCATCTCCATCATTGGGGAACCAGGCATACAATCGTCAATGTTCCAAATCATTCCAAACACGCCCGCTGGTCGCAGAGTCCGAGCAATCTCCTTCAATGCGTTCATGTTGGCAAACCTTGGTGAAGACCATCAGATAACGATTCTTTGTGCAATGTTCAGACATACCAATGAAACGACTACGGGCCAGATCAGATCAATTCGGCCCTGTCAAGCTCCGCCTACACTTACTTGTGACGCTATGATGCATGCAAGAGCCTCATCAGCGATGCCGGGCATACTATCGGCCGTTCCTTTCAAAACTTGTACGCGAGGCAGACTCTTCCGCTCTAGTTGCGCCCGCATGCCATCGTGAGGCTCCACGGCAACGATATCGTATTCTTCGGGTCTTCGTGCCAGAATTTCTGTAAATTTGCCCGTCCCAGCTGCGAGGTCTGCAATCTTTGCTCTCTTGGTTCCGGCAACCTCACAGGCCTGGAGGAGCCGTTGGACCGCTTCGTCTGGATATGATGGGCGATGAGCATCATAAGCGGCGGCTGGAGCGAAGCCACTCTGGGCTGGCTCAGCAATTTCTGACCCTATCATGCTCAAACGTCGTGAAGGAACGTAGAGGACAATCCGAAACGGACTCTCGGCCTGATCCAAAGTTTTCGGACATTACCTGCCAGTCTGGCACGTGGCGACGTGAGTGTTCGCGGTGAGGGGTAACAAGTCATCGCAGCCCCGCAATGGCGCGAGTGTGAAAAAAAGTTGGTGGCGGCAAGAGATTCAATAGAGGCAAAAGACATTGACAGACCTTAGTCTACGAGGTATTACAGGCGTAATTCCCAACTCTTCACTCATCTTCCAGCCTTTCCTCAGCCATGGTGCTGCAGGCTATCCAATATGAACCTGCTTCAGCCGATTCGTCCCCGTCATTGCGCATTCTCGATCAGCTAGTCCTACCGCATCGGACGACCTATATCCCGGTCAGAAACTGCGAAGAAGCCCATGTTGCCATCAAGCAGATGAAAGTCCGTGGAGCGCCTGCAATTGCCATTGTGGCCTCTCTGGCCATTGCTGTCGAGATGGGAGCTGAAATGAAAACAGGGAATTTACCAGCGGCGCCTGAGGATGTGAAGGACAGCATAGACCAGCGTTTGGACTTTCTGAAGACGAGTAGGCCGACGGCGGTAAACCTGGGGGATGCAGTGGGCAAGCTCAAGATTGTGATCAAGAAGGCTACACTGCAGCCTGGAGCGTCCGCGGAGTCTGTTACTCGAGCTTATATTACCGCAGCAGAACGGATGTTGGTGGATGATGTCTCTGACAACAGAGCCATTGGGGAATATGGCGCCCGTTGGATTGGAGAAAACACCACGGCTGGAAGGAAAAGGAAAGCAGACAGAACTCGGGACGTTGCCATTCTGACACATTGCAATACTGGGTAAGGAGGACCGGGAACACGACCGTCCGACAAAAATTTCAGAGGAGCTGACGTCTGTACAGTTCTCTGGCAACTGCAGGTTATGGCACAGCGCTTGGTGTCATCAGATCTCTGAGGGCCGCTGACATGCTTACCCGCGCATACTGTTCAGAGACTCGGCCATACAACCAAGGTTCCCGATTGACAGCTTATGAGCTTGTCCACGACGAGATCCCGGCCACGCTCATAACGGATTCGATGGCTTGTGCACTCATGGAAAGAGAAGGAGATCATCTGGCTGCCGTCGTCGTCGGAGCCGATCGAGTCGCGGCAAACGGTGACACAGCCAACAAGATCGGGACATATTCTCTTGCTGTACTTGCCCGCCACCACGGGGTGAAGTTTTTGGTTGCTGCCCCTAGGACAACCATTGACCGAGACACGGCTTCGGGCAAGGACATTGTAATTGAGGAAAGAGCACCGGAAGAGGTGACAAGGGTCAAAGGCCCTAAAGTCACAGTGGATGGAAAGCTACTTCTGGATGAAGGTTCAGAGATGGTGAGCACCGCTGCCGTTGGAATTGATGTATGGAATCCCGCTTTTGATGTGACCCCAGCAGAGCTCATCGATGGGGTCATCACCGAAGTCGGAGTCGTCGAGAAGGTAGATGGAAAGTTCAACTTCGGTCCCATTTTTCCTCAGCCTTGAGTTGGCATGAATTGTTGGGTTTCACACCGCTCTCGAACCTGGGTCTAGAAGTAACCACCATATCAATAGCTCAAAGGGGAAACGGAAAATCCGAATGGAGAAAATGAAGCGACCTGCATTGGCGCTGGCGAACGAAGTTGCAGGTACCGATTGGGCCCCATATCTCCGAACATGTGACGGTCGGGATAGGCGCACGTGTCTTACAACGAGTAGCAAGTTGAAAGCACGCTACTTCAACTCAGAAGGGTTTGATGCTGGGTTTCGCGGATGGGATTGAGCAAGCTCCTCGAAACTGGCCAGGAGCTGGTCAAGATGTTTGTGGATGCCGTCGAGCTTGGCCTCGAGCGCTGAAGCCGTTTTTTCCGCCCTGCGTAACGGTCAACCAGTACCTACATTTGGTGCGGGTGTATGGAGCATACTGTGCGACCTCCTCAAATGCCTTTTTTCCCATTAGAGGTGATCGAATAGTCAGCGGAATAAGCAGAATCGCATCAGGCTCGACAGCCAGTTTTCATACCTTTGCCATCTCCGAGGTCAACAGTTGAGGGTTGTCAATGTCCACGAGATTGTCCGATTGGGCCCGCTCGTCCCCTCTGTGGGAGGCAGAACTTCGTTGCGCCATTTCGGAGAGGCCGGGTGATGGTGTGGTTGTCAAAGACCAACTCCAAAGATTCGGTTGTCGGTGACAGCCCCGAATGCTGGGACAGAAAGAGGGTCAAGGGTCGCGCGAGTGGGAGTCCGTATTGTTTCGGAGGGACTTAAACATGGCGGGGTGGTTGGTGCTGAGGGTGCTGAGCAGGAGGAGCCATGGAAGAGTGTCGATGGCGATGGAAGATGGTTTGCGTCAGGCAGCATGAGGATGGCGGGAGGAAGAAATGAGTTTTGCGAAGCGAGAGCAAAAATGCGGGCCAAGGAAGTTGTGTCCAGCGCAGTTTCTTATCGATAACACCCAACTGGCCGCATATGGACTAGTGCCATGTACCCGAGTACGAGGTACAGGCCACGCGATGAAGAGACTCGGCCAATATTCACCCACAGGGCCCCACGCTTCTCTTCCTCCTCTTTACCTCCCCTGGGTCCTTACGTAGTTCTTTGGAGTGAGGATTAGTGTGCACAGGGCGGTACCGCAGGCATATTTTATCCAATTTATTCAGGAGGTTCACTACATGTGAAAATCCCCGACCAATGACGCCCTGTTGCCACGAGCCGAACGACTCAGCACGATCTATGTTTTAGTCGTCCTCTGCCGCGCTGGAAGCCATCATCGAGCTATCCATGCTCGAGAGAACTAATTCAAAGGGGCGACCCAGCTGGCTCAAAGGGGGATGGTTCTGATTCGACTTCCAGAAGGCGAACCCAAGGTCTTTGCCCATGGACATGTAACCCATTTCTACACTGGTCTTCTGCGAAATGGTCCACTAAGGTCACAATCACCGACCCATCGGAAATCCTGCACTAACCCAAGATACTCCATCCTCCCATATTCCGTTAAGTCTTCCTGAAAGAATTCAATATTTTTCATTCACTCCAGACCCCTGATCCGATATTGCGAAAAGGAGGGACCAGCCAAAGGCAGAGTCTCCACAGTATGTCGCGTCGAACCACTGTCGCTTACAAACTTATGCCGAGTCCCGGGGTTTGGGTCCACGTTTGATATCAGCATCATCATGAATCATGCGTAGCAATTGCTGAATTCCGCAGGCACAACCATCACAAAATGGGTGAGTGGTGGCACAGCACTGGTTAAGGAGTATACCTATGTATACTTCGTCCTACCTCCAAGCATATTTTCTAAACTCGTTTTCGGCACCCGGATATCCGACCGATCATCACTGAATCTCGTCATCGAAGCCCCCGGTTAGACGCAGGCGACCCGCTACCGCTCAGCTGCAGGGCCAGACGAAGAACTGCTCCAGGGACCGCGAGCCACCAAGCCTCTCAGTTCTCAGGCCCAAGAGGCATCAAAACAGGAATTCAATCCCGTGTTCAGAATCAATCCACCAACCGTGCAAACCCGGGAGCCAAATATTCAGTA